CGCTTTGCTTTGTGTACAGAAAATGCCATAAAAGCCAGGTATGAAGGCACCCGCCTGTAATCGCAGCACTTGGGAAGCTGAGGTAGGAGGATGGCCACAAGTGCCTGACCAACCTGTGTATATAGTGAGTTTAAGGCCAGCCTGAACTGCATAAGGAGACCTCCACCTCAAAACACTAAGGCAAAACAAAACACAAAGACTTCAAACATACCAGTGAGTTGAACAAGAAAGGTCTTCCCATGTAACAGAGTAAGTTGGTCCAGTGATCTTCAGTGACCTCTACATGTGCTAAAAGGGACCTGGGGCTCACTTGGCAGAAGTGAACCCTGATCTGCAAGGACCCTGCTCAACTGAAGCCTCACCCTCTCCAAGGCCATGATCACCTGCAGCTGACAAAGTGCCTTGACACCCAGGAGCCCACTCAACCCTCAGGGCAGCCTACAGAAGCAACCAGTTCTCCATCCTGCAAACCACTTAAGGTAAGGTGTCACTCACACAGTCATTTAGCAAACTTTTATTAGCAGTTGCTGTGTACCTGGAAACAAACTCAGTTGCCCTGATTCAAGGTCAGTGTTCTTTGTAAAAATCTGTTTCTATAGTTTGACTCCTGCTCCCTGCTGCCTTTGAAATACCCACAATTCTTTGCTGCTCCTCTTTCAAGCAGTGGATGTCAATTCCCCTCCCTGTAGACAGGGCTGGGCTCCCTTCCAAAAAATGAAGTGCAAATGATGTGGAAATGACGGTGTGAGACTTTAGAGGACTCTGGGCCTCCACGATGCTGTGGCTTCCTCCCTGGCACCTCTACCTCTGGCTCTCAGGAGGTTGTGTGGACAGCAGGCCTGGAGGACTTTGGCCTCTAAACAAGCAACACTGCCATGCACAGGCTTGGGAGCCGACCCTCCTGTCCCAGGACAGGCCCTGAGCTGGGTGCACCACTTTAAACTACTCCTGGGGGGGCTGGGGATTTAGCTCAGCGGCATAAGCGCCTGCCTTGCAAGCAGGCAGTCGTGAGTTCGATCCCCGGTACCGATAAAAAGGAAAAAGACAAAAAATAAATAAATAAATAAATAAATAAATAAACTACTCCTGGGTTTCTAGCCCTTAGAAATCATGGGAAAGCTGGGTGTTGTGGTATACACCTGTAATCTCAGCACTCCGGAGAGGAAGATCATCTAGAGTTCTAGGCCAGCTGGGCTCCATTGTGAGTTCAAGCCCAGCCTGAATTACATAGCCAGACGATGTCAACAAACAAACAAACAAACAAAAAACCATAAATAAATAAACAAATAAGTGACACTAAAGCTGAATGTGGTCAATCATACTTATAATCCCAATGTTCAGGAGGCTGAGACAGAAAGACCTAAGTTTGAGCCCAGCCTTGGCTACTTAGCAACTCAATGAGACCTTGTCTCAAAATAAAAACTTAAAAGGGGTGTGTGTGTGTGTGTGCTGAGGATATAGCTCAATGAGAAAGTCCTGGGTTTGATCTCCAGTGCTATACAATTTTTTTTAATAAAATAAAACTAAGCCAGTTATAATGGTAAATACCTGCAATTCCCGATGCTCAGGAGGTCAAAACAGAAGAGGATTGCAAATTTTTTGTTTTTGTTTTTTGTTTTGAGACAGGGTCTCACACTATGCAGTTCAGGCTGGGCTTGAGCTCACTTTGTAGCCCGGGCTGATCTTGAACTTGCAACGATCCTCCTGCCTCAGCCTCCTGAATGCTGGGATTATAGGCATGAGCCACCACACACGGCTTGAGGATTGCAAATTTGAAGCCTCCTTGTGCAACTTAGAAACTCAGAGAAACTCTGTCTCAAGATTTGAAAAAGAAATTCAGAAGGGCTGTGGATATAGCTGCTTGAAGGCTCTGGGTTCAACCTCTAGCATCATAAAAAGTAATAACAATTAATTAAAGTTTAAATGTTTAAAAGAATGCCAGGTGTGATGGTGCACTCCTGTAATCCCAGCATTTCGGAGGCCAAGGCAGGTGGATTGTGGCAAGTTTGAAACCAGCCTGGGCTACAGTGTGAGCCCAAGGCCACTCTGAACCACATAGGGAGACCCTGTCTCAAAAAAAAAAAAAAGTTTAAAAGTAAAAAGAGGTGGGAACATAACTCAATACTCTTAGATTCAATCTCAAGTATCACAAAATAAAACACAAAGAAATGAAAATGTACTTCCCTTCATACTGTGTACCTGGGTTCTTACACCTGTCCTTGCTGCTTTTAAGCTGTGCAGTATTTGCAAATTTCTTGACTTCTCTGAGTCTCAGTTTCCACATCTGCCCCACTGTCAGGATCCACCACATCATACTGGGGATGGAGCCCAGCTGGGTGGGTGTTTGATGACTCTGTTCCCTGGACTCCCGACCCGATTTCCAAGCCCAGCCCAAGACAGACAAGAGAGCCTCAGCCACTGCTGCTGGAGTGAGAGATGACCTTGGAGGGCCGTGCCTCCTGCCTGGGTGAGGTCTCCTCTGAGGTCACCAAGAATTTCATCTTCAGTGGCCCTGACAGTGGGAAACTGCTGCCTCACTCCAAGACTGTCCTGCATCCCTGCCACTGATCTTCTTCCCCCTCATCTCCCTTTGACAATTTTTTATATTTACTTTAATAACAAATAACATGAAAAATAGGGTGGGATGTAGCTCAGTGCTAAGAATGCTGGGTACACACACACACACACACACACACACACACACTGACCACAGCCAGAAATCTCAAACTGATAATTCTCACAGTCACCCTGTGAAGAGGTCTATCTGTTCACAGGTGACAGGCACGGGCTGCAGTGTCAGGCCCAGGTCCCACAGAGGCAGAGTCAGCTGGTAATGCACAGGCTTCAGCGCCAGTACCTCCTGTGTGCAGGCTGTTTCAAGATGCTGTACTACACTTGATTTTGCATTCAGCTTGTGTCGAGTGGCCCTTTCCCAAAGAAGGCAACAGAAACCGGATGTGGCTGCAGATGTCACAGACAACAGTGTGCTGTTCGCTTACAGGTTTTTTTTTTAATTGGTACCAGGGATCGAACTTGAAACCATGCACTTGCAAGACAGGCGCTTATGCCGCTGAGCTAAATCCCCAGCCCTCAGGTTATTTTTAAAAATATATATTTATATCTAACCAGCCTTGATGGCCCACACTTGTAATTTCAGCATTTGGGAGACTGAGACAGGAGGACTGCAGCTAGTTTGAAGCCAGCCTGGGCTACATAGTGAGTTCAAGGTCAGCCTGAACTGCATCCGGAGACCCTGCTTTAAAAAAAAAAAAAGTTAAATTGCCCAGGCTAGCTTTGAACTTGTGAAGCTCCTGCCTCAGCCTCCTAAAGTGCTGGTGGTTCACAGGTGTGATCCACTCTACCAGTGCACCTGGCGGTTTTAACACAATGTCCCAACCGTGGCGTGCAATGAACTTCCAGTGCTTCCCCTCGCCTCCTCCCGCGTATTCGTAGTTCCCATTCCTTCAGCCTCCCCAACACCTTCCCACCTTCCCGGCCTTGCACCCCCCTCCCCCGCACAGCTCAGTCCTCACCGTCGCCCGGGGCCAAGCAGGGGCACAGCAGTACAGCGCGCTGTCACCTGCAACTCGGCGGACCGCAGCGCATTTGCATTTTAATTGTCGCAGTGGGAGCGGGAGAAAGAGAAGCAGGGGAGGCCTCTCCGCATTTTCTCCGCGCAGGCTGCAGGTGCAGGGAAACCCGGTCTTTGGGACAGAGGCGCGCACCCCCTCTTCAGCCCGCCAGAGCCCGAGGCTGCCAGACCTGATCCTCCCGATGCCAAGTCCCCGACTGTTCCGCCTCACGGCCGAGCCAGGCTTGCTTGGTCCCACGGACAAGGAGCTCGCTTCCTCCCCACCCACCCGAACCAAAGCAGCGTCTAGACCCAGAGGCTTCTGCGCCGGCAGATGCGAACCCGCGGTCCTGTAGTCCCGCACCGCTCGATCTCACGTAGCTCAGTTCCGTGCTCCCGGCGCGCGCCGCGAACCCCGTGTCCTCCCCAGGCCAAGGTCCCGCGTGCAGCCCGCAAGACCGGCGCGAGGCCAGGTGTAGGTCGAGCACCGGGGGCTCCGGGTCCTAGAACACGCGGAGACCGGGTGGGGACAGCACACAGGCTCTGCTTCCTACTCTCCAACGCGCTCTCGAGTCTCCTCCTTGGAAAACGACCAACCCCGAGTACCCCTGCAGGAGGGGGCCGTTCTCTGGGGCTGGCGCGAGACCGTCACACCCCCAAGCCAGGTGACTTTAGGAGTAGAGGGTCAGGACACAGGGAGGCTGAGGCAGGAGGATCGCAAGTTCTAGTCTGGTCGGGGGAATGCATAGACGTCGCGAGCCCCTGTCTAAATAAAAAGAGCTGGAGGCCTTGCTCAGTAGGAAGAAAGGGCCATGAAGTGGACTCCAGGCACAGCGCAGGGGCTCAGCGTCCCTGGATGAAAAGTCTCCTTGCTCTCCCTGTCCGCGTTAACGGCGCAGCCCCAGACGCGTTGAGCCCCGAGCGTGTGTGCACCTGGGAGCTCCCCAAGCGTGGCGAGAACCGCGCGCCAGGGTTGTCCGAGGGCCGCGGCCCCTCTGCTGTAAACGGCTCTTTGTCGCCGGCTGCTCTCTGGCTGGGTCCTCGAAGGCGGGGCGCGGGGCCTGCGGACCTCGTAGAAGTTTCCCCGGGATGGGGGCACCCTTCCCTGGAGCGGAGCGCGGGGGACTTTGCTAGAAGCTGCGAGGGTACCGCAGAAGCTTTAGGTTGTGCTTTAGGAGCACCGCTGGGGAGGGTGGCGTGGGTCCAAGCTGCTCGCTCTGGGACGCACTGAAGAAGCCGCTGGATCTGGAGGGCAGGAGGGACGCAGGAGGCGGGGCTTGGGCCGGACCAGCCCCAGACAAGGGGCGGGACCAAAACCTGGGGAAGAGATGGGGTTTGGGAAAGAGCCTGGGAAACAAACTGGTCCTGGGAAAGAGGCGGGGCCTATGAAAGACCGGCCCAGTGGGGGCGGGGACAGACGGACCTCCAGGCCTGGGTAAGAGCCGGGGCTTGCGAAAGGCGGGGCCTCCCGGCTAGCGGGCTGGGCTTTGGCCAAAAGCGCGCAGCTCAGGGCACTGAGAGCGCAGAGCGTGGAGGGCGCGGAGCAGAGTACGGGAGGCTGGTGAGGGACGTGGCTGGAGAGGGACGTGAACGCCGAGGGTCGCAGCCCGCCGCCGCGTCCACGCCAAGCCATGCAGCCTTGGGGCTGAGCGGCCCGATGGCGAGCAGAGCGCATGGAGAACTTCCGTAAGGTGCGCTCCGAGGAGGGGCCCGAGGGGGGCGGCGCGGGCGCGGGTCCCTTCGCCGACCTGGCGCCCGGCGCCGTACACATGCGAGTCAAAGAGGGCAGCAAGATCCGCAACCTGCTGGCCTTCGCCACCGCCAGTATGGCGCAGCCGACCACGCGCGCCATCGTCTTCAGCGGCTGCGGCCGGGCCGCCACCAAGACCGTCACGTGCGCTGAGATCCTGAAGCGCCGCCTGGCGGGGCTGCACCAGGTCACGCGGCTGCGCTACCGGAGCGTGCGCGAGGTGTGGCAGAGCCTGCCCTCGGGGCCCGACCACCCACCCGCCAGCCTCAGTGTACTCAAGAACGTGCCTGGCCTCGCCATCCTGCTGTCCAAGGACGCGCTGGATCCTCGCCAGCCTGGCTACCAGCCCCCGGGCCCGCACCCTGGTTCGCCATCTCCGCCCACCACGCCGACGGCCAAGAGGGGTCTCGGGGACACTGTGGCTGAAGAAGGTGCCCCGAAGAGGTCGCAGCCTGAGCCAGAGGCTGGAGATGAGAACCACACGGCCTGAGCTCCTTGAGCCACCTGGGCCGCTGGATCTATTTAGGGCCTCCACCTTCGGACTCACCTCCAGTTTCCACGCCTCAGTCCTCAAAAGCGCCCACATCCTGGACACAGCACCTCAGACTGGCAGCATGAATCCCAAGGCGACTAGTGAGGGGACCCAGGAATGACAGGAGAGGATGCTAACCAGCCCGGGGAGGTTTGGTCCACCTTTGGCTTTACTGAATTATCCTGGGACCTTCTCTAGGGAGAGGACGCTAGCAGGGCACTCAGAGCCTTGTTTGGGACCCTGTGGCTTGAAGACATCCAGTTTCGTGGAAGAGACCTGGACTCTGCAGCTCAGAAGACCTCTTGGAATCACTCCCGCGCTGAGAAATTGACTGTGTGAGGATAGAGGAATCAGATATGGAACTTGTCTGTGTTCTGCCCCCTTCCCTAGGACCAGTTCCCGTTTTACTTTCATCCTGTTAGTACATCCCCTTCCCCAGGTTGTCCCGGAGGGAGAGATAGAGATCCAGAATGCAACTTTCCCTACCTGAGCCCCACAAGCTGGAATCTTGCTTCCAATAAAGCAAACGGGAAAATGGCTGTCCCCAGATTTTTTTCCTAACCTCCTTCTGTGGTGACAGTGCTGGCCCCTGTGCCCGTGGCTCCCAGATCATCTTGGGAGGCTACCACCCCCACCCCCGCCTTTAGGTCTTCAGGAACCAGCCAGCCCCGAGATAGGAGGAGTGTGCTGTTCAGTCCCTGGCTTCTCTGTCCCCTGCTCTCCGTGGCTGGCTCTGGACTTGGGAGCTTGTGTCTAGAAGGGGGCCTATGTTGTCCTGTGCATCCCCACAAAGGGACAGGGAGCTGCATGTTGCTTTTTTAAGACAGAAAGGAAGGAGAGTGTGGAAGAGCTCTCCTGGGGGTCACTGAAAAGGATGGCAAAGGCTGGGGTCCCTGAACCTGCAGCCTCCTCCCAACAGACTGAACCTTGCCCAGAAGGCTGGCTTGAAATCTGCCTCCCACGGGAGACTTCCCTTCATTGCCCTCTCTCTCTGCAAAAGGACAGCACACCCTTGGGAGAGGGGGAGGAGAGACTGAGTGTAGATCCAAGGTGGAAATTACTATTCAGCAGAGAAGTGAGGACTGAGCTGTGAATCACTGCAGGCTTCCTGATAAGCCACTCCAGCCCAGCACAGCTGTCTGGAGAGATAACAGCCCTGTCTGCCTCTCTGCTCAACTCCTCTGCAGCTTTGGGAGGAAGAGGGGGCATGCTGCAGGAGCTCTGGTGCGGGTGGCATAGCCCAGAGTCTGCTTAGACCTGTCCAGTGGGAGGGAAGGATTTGTAAGTCACTTTGCAGGCAGAACCCTGAAATAAACCCTTCTTAAGGGACAGGACAAAGGTTTTTGCACTGGAGGAGGAGAGACTGGAGAGGCCCCATCTTGCTAGCTCTGCCTGTTTCAGACCAGGGAGCCCTGTCACTCAAGCTCTGGCTCCTGCCCTGATTTGTGGGGTACTTTTTGTTTGGGGATTTTGGTTGCTTTTTGCCATGTGGAGGCTTTAACTCAGGGCCTCACACATATTAAGCAAGTACACTACAACTGAGTTGCACCCCCAGCCCTTTTTCACCTTTTTTTTTTTGACACAAGATCTCTAAGTATGTATTCCAGGCTGGCCTTGAACTCAAGCTGTAGCTCAGGTTGGCCTCTACCTTGCAGAAGTCTTCCTGCCTCAGTCTTCCAAGTGCTAGGATTACAGGTGTGTGTACCACTACATCTGTCTGCTCTCCTGTTCCTGATGTGTCCTTGTGGGGGGCCAAGGGGTTTAGGTGAACTGTCTGACCCTCAAGGGTGGCTGGGAAGCAAGCAAAGAATTAAACTATCCTAATAGTTAAAGTTCCCTGGGCTCAGCATCTAAGGAAGACAAGAGCCCTTGCACACTGGAAGTGAGGGAGATTAGGTGGGGCAAATCTGCCAGGATGCTGAGTTCCCAGGATGTTCAAGCAGAACCTGCTGACATCGAGGAAGACAGCCACAGCAGCTCTGTCGCTTGAAAGAAAAGGTAAGTCCTCTTCCACTCTGGAAAATCATCTTGGCCTGAAGAAGAGATAAGGTGTTTTATCCCCAGCTTCAAAGTGTTAATTTACTCTGACCCTGAAGGCAGGTCCTGAACCATGAACATCTCAGGCTTTTGCTGGATGCACTGGTTCTGCACCTGAGAGCACCCAGCCCCTTCTCCCAGGAGCAGGCTCTGGAGAGCGGTGACAGGTGTTTCTGCCCCGGGAAATCTCAAAGGCTAAATCTAAGGTGGGAGCTTAAAAAGGCCAGGCGTAAAGTGAGGGAGCACATCAGACACCGCACTCCCACAAGGGGTCAGGGCAGATTGGGTAGAACAGGAAGCTCCCAGCAAGACTGCACCTTTGCAGCAGCAGTCTCTATCCAGGGGCATCCCACATTGCCAGTGTCTGTCTCCACCCTGCCTTGTGACGGTGGAAGCTTACACCTACAAATCCGTTAGGTCACAAAATGTAAATGTAGTTGGAAATACACAATGCCTGCTTTGTTGAGTGGGGACTTCCACAGGACCGTCATCATTCAGCAAATGAGCTTTCACTATCCTTGTTCATTCTATCTCCAGAAGGTCTCTTTTGGGAGCTTCACTGGGCTCCTGATGTCCTAAAATGGGTGAATGAAAAGATTTAAATGAAAGAAACAAGTAATATGGTTTTGGGAAGTCCAGGAAGAGTGGAACGCTCTTGGAGCTAAGACAAAGACTTCTCTGGGTTGCCACTATTTATTGGATTTCAAACAGGTTGGGGGAAAGGGATGTGAGGAAAAGTGAAGGAAAAAGCTGTGGTAAAGTTGGGAAACCAAGCAGGACCTTAAGAAGTTAGACCAAAGGCTTTTCCAGGGGTACATTTTGCCAGGTAAGAGAACTGATCTCTAAGGTTGGCAGTTTATAGCTCTCAAATTGGCAAGAGAGCCAAATGTTCCCAGCTGTGGTATTATTTTGTCTTCAAAAATAACACTGTGGTCAGTGACCTAACCTTTATACAGCTTGGTTCCCCAACATGTCTCAGCAAAAGTAGTGGTTCAGACCTAGCTTGGGCAATTTAGCAGTTTAACTAGATCCTGTCCGAAAATTTTTGTAAAAAAAGGAAGCAAGCAAGCACTAGGGATGTAGCTGGCAAGAAAACGAAAGAAAGAAAGAAAGAAAGAAAGAAAAAGAGAAAGAGAGAAAGAAAGAAAGAAAGAGAAAAAGAAAAAGAAAAAAAGAAAGGGTTCTAGTCCTGGCCACTAATGGAGCTTCCTCTCCTCCATGAGAAGCGCTGGCCTCCTATCACTAAATAGGAACTTCAGGAGGACCCCAGAGGTGCTGCTGCCTGTAGGGTCAGCACCCCCTACACCCCTGAAGGATGGCATTAGACACATAGTATAGACAGGCAGGCAGGACTGGAGCATCGCAGGGAAGGGAGGAGCATGGGGCCAGGGGGTGCTCAGGTCCTTCAAGGTCTGATGGGTGGTGCAAGTGGATTGGAAGGTATTCCAGCCTTGCAAGGCGAAGGCTGCAGAGGTGAGAGCCAAGACCACAGGCAGAGTTGAGAGCTGCCCAGATGGGGCAGGACTTCAGGCCACTGTAGCCAGGAAGAAAGGGTTTTCTCCTTGAGTTTAACTTGTGTGCCTGGCCTGATTTTCTGGTGTCCCAGAGGATGTACTGGCTAAGGACTGACAATAAAGAGGGCTTCTGCAGGGGTAGAGAGGCTGCCATCTGTCACCCATGAATCTGTAGGGTATGTCCCCTGCCTGGTTTGCGGGAGACTTGGGCGAGACACACAACCCCAACTATATAAGCTGGGCAGTCCTTGCTATGGTCCTGTTCTAGTGTCCTACATTTCACTGAGATGCTGGAACACTTACAGGTAACTGAAGATGAGAAGCCAGGTGTGGCACATGCTTGTAATCCCAGCTCTTGGGAGGCTGAGGCAGGAGGATCAATGAGTTTGAGGCCAGTCTAGGCTACATAGTTCAAGTTCAACTTGAGCTACATAGTGAGAGCCTATCTCTAAAAAAAAGTACAAAAAATAAATGGATAATGAAGGTAAAATGTAGTAGTATGTGTGTGCTCCCTCTGACATGAAGGGTGTCCTTGTAAAAAGATGGCACTGGACACAGATGTGTGTACAGAGAGCAAAGAATTCAGGACAGAGCAAAGACTTCAAAGACTTCATTTACAAGCTGAGGAGAGGCTTTAGAAACAAGTGCAGCACTGGGGTGTGGTGCTGCAGCCCTGTCATCCCAGCACAGAGGGAGGCTGAGGCAAAATGATGACAAATTTGAGCACTGCTTGGGCAATTTATTGAGACTGTCTCTCAAAAAATGAAAAAGGGCTAAAGATAGGGCTCAGTAGTACAGTGCTGCTAGGTTAGTGCCCCAGTATTGCCAAAACAAAACAAATGAAAAGAAAACAAGCCTACCAATACATGACGTTAAATTTCTGGTTTCTAGAAATGCAAAAAGATTCTGTTATTTAAGCCAGCTCTTGATGCTTTGTTATGACAGCCCTAACAGCATGGAAAAACTTGGAAACTGGAGGAAAAGAAAGATGATAAAAAGAGAACACTTTTCAGCAGGGCATGGTGGTATAAGCCTATGGTCCCCATGCTTAGGAGGCTGAGGCAGAAGAATTGCTTTTAGTTCAAGGCCAGCCTTGGCTACATAGTGAGTTTTGTTTTGTTTTGTTTTTTGAGACAGGGTCTCACTATGCAGTTCAGGCTGGCCTTGAGCTCACTTTGTAGCCCAGGCTGGTCTTGAACTCACAATGATCCTCCTACTTCAGCCCCCCACCCCCCACCCCCAGTGCTGGGATTAAGCGTGAGCCACCACGCCTGGCTCCATAGTGAGTTTGAAGCCAGCCTGATATGCACAGCAAGACCCTGTCACAAACAAAACAAAACAACCCCCACCCCCACCCCCCCCCAAAAAAACAAAAAAACAAAAAACTACCATCCGGCCATGGTGACACACTCCTGTAATCCCAGCACTCGGAAGGAGGCAGGAGGATCCTTGCAATTTGAGACCAGCCTGGGCTACAAAGTGAGCTCCAGACCAGCCTGAACTGCATAGTGAGACCCTGTCTCAAAAAGACAAAAACAGACAAACAAACAAAAAACCAAACTACCAAAATCAAACCAAACAAAATGAAAAACCCACATTCAATAATTTATTTTCTTTCTCTTTCTCTCTAGTGCTACTGAGGATTGAACCCAGTGCCTTCTTTCAATCTACCTCTCCAGCACTTTCAAAACTTTTTTTTTTATCTTTTTCTTTTTTATCGGGACCAGGGATCAAACTCATGACCACACACTTGCAAGGCAGGTGCTTATGCCGCTGAGCTAAATCCCCGGCCCCTCAAAAACTCTTTTAGGTTTTTTTTCTTTTCTTTCTTTCTTTTTTTTTTTTTTTTTTGTAACGGGGATCAAACTCACAACCTCATACTTGCCAAGAAAGTGCTTGTGCTCCTGAGCTAAACCTCTGGCCTTTTTTTTTAAAAACTTGAGACAGGGGGCTGGGGATTTAGCTCAGTGGCATAAGCACCTGCCTTGCAAGCAGGCGGTCATGAGTTCAATCCCCGGTACCGATAAAAATGAAAAAGACAAAAAAAAAAAAAAAAATTAAAAAAAAAAATAAAAACTTGAGACAGTGTCCCATTTTAATTGCACAGGCAGGGCTCAATTTTATTTTATTTTATTTATTTATTTTGGTGTTTCTGGGGATTGAACTCAGAGCCTTGTGCACACTAGGCAAGCGCTCTACTACTGAACTACATTCCCAGCCCAAGGTTCAAGTGTTTGATCCTCTTGTCTTACCCTTCCAGAGTCCTGGGATTATGGGCATTTACCACCATGCCCAGTTTTTAAAAATTCCCTTTAAATGTCAAGCCCCAGGCAAATCTTTAGAGATAGAAAATAAATTAGCGATTGCCTTGGGTGGTGTGGTTGGGAAGAATAGGGAAAAACTGCTATTGAACTAGTTGTTGTTGTTGTTTTATACCAGGGATCAAACTCAAGATTCACACTTGCCAGGAAGGCACTTATGCCACTGAGCTAAATCCCCAGTCCTAAACTAGTCCTCTTTGTATGGTGATAAAAATGTTTTGGAATTAGTGACACATGGGCACATGCCTAAAACTCCAGGACTCTGAGAGACTGAGGCATGAGGATCACAAGTTCAAGCCCAGCCAGGGCAGTTTACACATTTAGGGAGGTCCTTTTCAAAATTAGAAATCAATGAAGGGCTGGGGATTCAGATCAGTGCAAAAGCCTTGGGTTCAATCCTAGTACTATAGGAAAATAAAAGTTCTGGAATCAAATGGGCCATTGTGGCACAAACCTGTAGTTCTAATAGTTGGGAGGCTGAGGCAGGAGGCAAAGCCTACCTTCAGCTAAGAAGAAAGCTATATCTAGAGACATTAATTTTTCCTTAAGGATTGAACCCAGAGCCTCACACCAAGCTACATCATCAGTGCCCCCTACCCTTTTTTTAAATTTTGAGACAGAGTCTTGCTAAGTTGCCCAGGCTGGGCTTGAACTTAAAATTCTTCTGCTTCAGCCTCTTGGAGAACTGGGATTCCAGATGTGCACCATTATGCTTGCCTAATAAGATAGGGATTGAACCTTTATCTTACAATGTTTATAAGGTATGGTTGGGATGGAGAATGAATAGTAGCAGGTGGTGGCACATTACAGTTTGTTTTGGATTTATTTATTGATTTATTGTGACAGGGTCTTGCTAGATAGTTCAGGCTGACCTTGAATTTACAGCGTAGGTCTGGGGATAGCTCAGCAGCATAAGCACTTGCCTGGCAAGCACAAAGTCCTGAATTTGATTTTTTGTGCCAAAAGAAAGAAAAGAAAAAATTCCTTCACAATGTAGCCCAAGCTGCCTCAGTCTCCTGAGTTTTGACATTACAAGCATGTACCACCATGTCAGCTTGTTTTTTGAAACAAGGACTTGCTTCCTGTTCTAGGCTGGCCTCAAACTCAAAATCCTCACGCATGTCTCAGGCTCCTGAGGGCTGGAATTACAAGTGTTCTTGGCTATAACGATATTTTTTATATTTATTTATTTTTGAGACAGGGTGTGTAGTTCAGGATATCCTTGAACTCACTATGTAGCCCAGGTTGGCCTCAAACTCTTGCCTTAGTCTCCCAAGTCTTGGGATTATACACGTGCATCATGATGCCCAACAATTGTATATTAAATTTGAAACATTTAATCACCATTTTAAGTGACTACACCCCAGTGACCTTTCTGTACTGCTCTGACCTCACCCAGAGCCTTCAGTTTTGGAGAGTTGATGGACATTAATTGAACTACAGAGAGATCAAAGCCCTGGTGTCCTTTGGCCAGCTTGGTGTGAGAAAAAGGGAATACCTTGAAAACAACTGCTTTTTAAATCTTTTGGTATCGGAAATTGAACTCACAACCTTGCACTTGCCAGGCAGGGGTTGTGCCACAGAACTATATTCCCCTGCCCTTTAAATCTTTTTCCCAGCAGGGTTCATACCCCTCTAAAGCTACAGGGTGGGAGTAGATGCTAAGGCCCAGAGGGGAGGCCTGGGCCCAGCATGAGGGACCTAAATGTCTCTTTTCTTTCCTCAATGGTTCCAGAATGGAGAATGGATTCCTATCCCACTATCCATGTTTTTGTGGTTGCTTTTCTGTACTGGGGATTGAACCCAGGACCTTCACACTGAACTAAATCTCTAAGCTTTTTTATTTTTTATCTTGAGACAAAGTCTGACTAAGCTTCTAAATTGCCCAAACGGGGTTCAAATTTCCCATTCTCCTGCCTCAACCCTCCATAGTGCTGAGATTACAGGCCTGCACCACCACACCCCGCAGCAATCTAATTTCTGAGTCTGTTTCCTTCGTGTAAAAGCAAATAGTTCGACTCATCTTTTAATGCTTGCCAATTTCTGAGAATTATTAGTAAGGTTCCCAGCACATAGTTATTTGCCATTGATTCTCTTATTTTAGTGTCAAAAGACAGGGATAAGGGAAGTTGTTTATAGTATAATTTGTTTAAAAATTTTTTATTTTCCTTAGCACATATTTGCCATACATAGTGATTACATTAAACGTAAGGAGTTGGTACATGTGCATAACATATTTTAATTCTTTGGGGGGGGTGGAGATAGGATCTCCCTACGTAGCCCAGGGTGGCCTCGAACTCTCAGCATTTCTCTGCCTCACCCTCCAGAGCGCTGGGATGACAGGCATGGGCCACCATATTCTGAACATTTTAATTCCTTTTTACTTCTCCTTTTCCATCCCTCCTTCCTCTTTCTAATTTGTCGCTGTTATTGCTATGTTACCCATTTTGTGGTGAGAATCTCCCCTGAGGCGGACTCGAATCCCTACACCGTTCACTGCTAGACTCCACCTGCCTACCATCCACGTTCACCTTAGTCTCTATGGCATTCACCCAGAGGCTGGGTCGGGCGCGGAGTTGACATATTTGTCTCAATCGAGCCACCGTAGTCCCCCGGCGGCCCGTTGTGCTATTCCCTGGAGGCGCGAGCGCTGCAATGGGTGTGGTTGCGCGCTCCGCCCCAGGCACGCCCCTTGCGTCTTGCGTGCGTCCGGCCCCCGCGCTCTCGGAGCGGCTGGAGAGCTCACACCGGCTTCTCTGCAACCTTGGCCCGCGCGCCGCCATCGCCGTCATGCTGGGTACAGCTCTCCGCCGCTGCGCGGTAGCAGCCACTGCCCGTGCTATGCCCCGCGGCTTCCTACAGTCCCCCGCGACCCTCAGCCCCGTCGCCGGTAAGGTTCTGCCGGCGACCGCGTGTCCTTGCCATGACCCGACCCCACCGTCACTCTAGGGCAGGCTGCCGGCGGCCTAGCCTGGGCCCGGCGAGCGGGTGGCGGGGTCAGGGCGGCCCGCGGCTTGGGGTCCTGGAGGCGCAATACCACCTCGTACTTCGGACTGTGCCTGCAACCCTGCGCCGATCCCTGGCCACCTGATCGTGGCGCTCTGGCGAAGGTGACATTGAGCGCCCGCTACCCCCCTCCGGCTTCTCGAGGACACTTGAGCTTCCGTCTGGGGCGCAGGACAGTGACCGGGCCGGTCCCCATTAGCGCTGTCATTTTCATAGCCTGCATCCTATTAGGGGTTGTTGAACCTCGTCCTGATTGCTTCACGTTTAAAATGGCACGACTGTATGGCCATTGGTATGGCTGTGTTCTGCGGTCTGAAGGTGGCCTAATGCTGGCGAGTGTTGTGGTAACCACATTACTGTCGCGAAAATTGTGTGCCGCACACTCGGGAGTCCTGAATTCTACAAATAAGGGGAAAAGCTTCGCAGGTTTTTTTTTTTTTTTCTCCCATTTGGATTCAGATTGGAGGCGAAGTATTGGAAATTCTTGTCTTTTATTTCTCCTTCCCCTTATCCCTGTACTTTGAATCATAATTACTGCACTTGGTTTGGCCTATGGTGGTTATGTATGTGGCATTATGAAACCTAGTGGATGTGGATGTAACAAACTCAAAAAGGAGCAGTGGTGTTTGCGTGACTATTAATTTTAACAAGGTACTTCGAAACCGGAAAAACATTTTTGGCTTCTTTTAATTTGTTTTTTCTTTGGCTTGATTTAATTTGGACTTTATATTTCATACTGTGTCATAGAAAAAACCGTAAGGCTGGGGTGGACTTTAGAGACCATGGAGATTATCTTATATGGAAGAGGACACACACATATCTTGCCGCCTGATTTCTTTATTAGGGGCAGAACTATTTTCTGTTTCTTAGTTATAAATTGTCAGGTTTGATCCAGATTCCCAAACTGAATGTAATGGTACACAGTTGTAATCCCAGCACTCTGAGACTGTGGAAGGAAGATCCCAAGTTGGAGTCCAGCCTGTAATTTTGTGACCTTGTGAGATCATGTCGCAAAATTTAAAAAAGGATAGGGATGTAGTTGAGTGCAGAGGCCCTGGTTCAATCCTCAGTACTGCCAGGAAAAAAAAAATCTTAAAAAACATTTTCTTCTTACATTTTATAGCAAATTTAAGAAATGCCAGTGGTATTTCCCAAAAGGCAAAATGTAAAGATTCTTTATTTGGTGGTTTATTTTCGAAGTATTCTATTTACTCTCCTGAGTAAAATTAAATTAAAAAGGCTTTGAGGTCTTTCACACATACCTAATTATTTACCACAAGGAGGCAGTGTTGATCACAAGTTGTGTCTGGTAACTTTTGTCTGTGTCCTTGGACATGTTACTTAACCTTAAGTCTCAGTGGCTGGGCTACATAGTGAGACCCTGTCGATAAACAAACAAAAAAAAAGACTTGAGTCAAAGAATGTTTTGTATTTATAATGATTTCTATGAAAGGAAGAGCCATTAAGAAGAACCACTGATTGATTGATTGTGGTGCTAGGGATGAGACCTCAGACCTCATGCATGCTAACTATGTGCTCTTCTACTGTGCTATAGCCCAAGCCCAATTTTGGAAAATAATGGTGAGTATAAGATTTTTTTTTTTTTTTTTTTGGTCTTTTTCCTTTTTATTGAACTTACGACTGCCTGCTTGCGAGGCAGGCGCTGATGCCGCTGAGCTAAATCCCCAGCCCCTGAGTATAAGATTTTTTAAAAAATCACTTTATTTTGAGGCAGGTGTCGCTATGTAGTGTAGGTTGGCCTTAAACTCACTCTGTAGCTCAAGCTGGCAAATTACCAGTTTGTGGTAATTCTCCTGCCTCCGCTTCCCCAGTGTTGGGATTATAGGTGTGTGCCACCTCACCTGGCCAAGATTTTTGGATCATGTCAGTAACTATAAATATACTTTATGAATTTGGTTAAGTATGCAGTGGACTTTGGAAACAGATTCTTACTGTGTTGCCAAGGCTGACCTTGAACTGCTAAGACTCAGACCCTTCTGCTTCAGCTTCCCAAGTAGCTGGGTCTATAGACAGACATGTGCTACTATGCCTTACCAACACACACAGTATGGAAGCATGTGAGGAAATACAGTTTTTCCTTTCCTTCCAATGAGTTACACATTGGAGGGTGTGAAGCACAAAGTTAGCTATATGATACTTTTTTCCTACTTGCTTATCTTTGATAATTTATAATTTCATTTGACTTTTTTTTTTTTGGAGACAGGGTCTCACTGTGCAGTTCAAGCTGGTCTTGAGGTCACTTTGTAGACCAGGTTGGTCTTGAACTTGCAACAATCCTGCGTCAGCCACCCAAGTGCTGGGATTACAGGTGTAGGCCACTATGCCCAGCTGAATTTTTTTTTTTTTTTTAACCACAACATATATATTGATTTAAACGTTAATGCAGGCCTAGCATAGAGGTACTGGGCTGAAATCCTAGCAGTGAAAGAAGATGAGAAAGGAAGATCACAAGTTTGAGCCCAACCTGAGCAGATTAGGGAAACCCTGTCTCAATCAAAGAAGGGTTGGGGATGTAGTTTAGTGTGAAGGCTTTGGGTTCTATCCCAATACTGTAAGTAACCAGTTTACAGAGAAGATATATTCTGTGGGAATTGTTCTTAAGCCAACAGAGTCTTACGGGGTATACCTATGAAGTTTCAAAGTGGATGCTCCTAAGTTGAGTACTTACTGTACTGGAAAAAACAAACCTGAAAAGCCAAATGCGTTAGGCAAGATATGCGAAGTGCTTTCTGTACATCAAGTTACTGCTGTCTGTCTATTGCAGCTGTCCTGTCAGCTCGCTGCTATTCCCATGGGTCACATGAGACAGATGAGGAGTTTGATGCTCGCTGGGTGACATACTTCAACAAGCCAGACATAGATGCCTGGGAGTTGCGTAAAGGTAACTAATACCTATTGTTTCCACTATCTCCTTGAAAGCAAAGACTTTGAAAATAGACATTGTGAAACCTTTTTGTGCAGCTTGCAGTTAGGAAGGTTTGTGGCTTTGTGGCATTTCCTGTGAAAGGAGGGTTTTTAAGCCCACAGTGCTGACAGTTTGTGTCACAGTTCTGTGTTGTCATGTTCTGTCCTTTGCACTGCAGGGTATTCATAAGCATTCTTGGCCTTTGCCCACTAGATACACACACACCCAAACACACACAGACCTGTAGTTGTGATAACCAGAAATGTCTGCAGACATTACCCAGTGTCCTCTGGGCAACAAGATCACCCGTCTCTAAAACAGCGATCTCTAGGGGCTGGAGATTTAGCTCAGTGGCATAAGCGCCTGCCTTGCAAGCAGGCAGTTGGAGTTCGATCCCCGGTACCGATAAAAAGGAAAAAGACAAAATAAATAAATAAAATAAGACAGCCATCTCTAAAAAGAGTTTGCTGGGTGTCACTCATAGTCCTGGACCTTCAAGTGACCTGCACAGCACTCACTTCCTTCTCTTCCCCTCTGAGGAATGGAATGGTCTGAAATTATTATTATTGTTGTTATTATTTTAATATTTGATGATCTAATTTTTTACATATTTATGTTTTTTTGTTTCACTGGAAATTGAACTCAGGACCTCACACTCACGAGGCAGGTGCTGTGCTGCTGAGCTGTATCCCCAGCCCTGAGTTTTTATTTTTATCCTTGTGTGTAAATTGCTTTTCCTTGAGTACTGGTCTATATAAGCCAGAATTTGTTTTTTTCTAAATTTTGCAGGTGTGCACTTGACATGAATAAGTAGCACTAATGGTAATTAGTCACAAATAATAACGTACTTAATTTATCTTAGACCAACAATTCAGTCTCTATGACTACGCACTGGCATTTTATTCACTTGTGTCCTTTGCTGAAATATTTTAAACAAAAGCAAGAAAGGAGTGCTTGAAACTCCCCTGCTGGGATGTAATGGCTCCATTTTGCTGCAAATTGCTGCTGAATAATGTGGTAGAGATAATGAAGAGGACAGCCATTCTGCATCCCCACTAAGGGACTCTTCCCCTTAGGAAGAGTCATTTTGCACAGATGTGGAAGTAATTGTGCCTGGTCATTTTCTGGTTGGGTGTTCACAGTCTTTCCAATAATGCTGCTCTGTAATAGCTCCTTAGTGTTCTCGCTTAGGCTTCATTAACTCTGCTTGGGCATTTCCTAAGGTTGGTTAAGGTTATTTTCTGATAGAATCTGTCTTGAAGCAGGCAAATATGAACACTGTATTTAAAAAGTTAAAAGATGTGATTTGGAAATGATTGTCTTTGAAGAGAGATCGCTAGTTATTATGAAAATAATGTTTGCATTTGAGAAAACACTTTTTCCCTGCAGTTCGCATGGTGTTCTGTAATTTCTTATAAACTCATTCTAAAGGAGCCACTGTGACCAGACCATCTATGATCTGTAAAGGCAGGTTCTCATTTCATAGGTAATGGAGGCCTGAACACAAGGTGACATTAGGGCCAAGGATATAGCTCAGCGGCACAGTGCCTGCCTGGCCAAAAGTGAGGTCGTGAGTCAATTCCTGGTACCAAAGGGAAAAAAAAGGTACATTTTCAACCGGGATGTGGTGGTGCCTGCCTGTAATCCCAGCACTTCGGAGGCTGAGGCAAGAGGATCATTGTGAATTTGAGACCAGCCTGGACTACATAGTGAGCTCAAAGCCAGCCTGAACCGCATAGCGAGACCCTGTCTCAAAAAGACAAAAAGAAAACAACTTAGACAACTGCATTGTTCTTTAAGTGAGAATAATTCCATGCTGACATGTCCCCTCTTTTTAATTTGACAGGGATGAACACACTTGTTGGCTATGATCTGGTTCCCGAACCCAAAATCATTGATGCTGCTTTGCGGGCATGCAGACGGTTAAATGATTTTGCTAGTGCTGTTAGGATCCTAGAGGTGGTTAAGGTGAGTAAGATAACAGTGATGAAATTATTCCACAAGTCGCTGGGCTGTAGTTTCACCATAGTGTGCTTTTTTGGAGGAGAGAGAGGCAGGGTCTCATTATGTAGTACAGGCTGGCCTTGGACTTGCTTATGTAGCTCAGACTGCAAACTCATGGTAAGCCTTCTGCCTCAGCCTCCCAAATGTTAGGCTTTCAGGTGTGCGCCACCATCCCTGGCAGCATATTCTGTTTTTTTGTTTTGGTTTGCTTTGGTTTCTGTTTTTTTGAGACAGGGTCTTGCCATGTATTCAGGCTGGCCTTGAACTCACTGTGTAGCCCAGGCTAGCCTCAAATTCAGTGGTGATCCTCCTGCCTCAGCCTTCCAAGTGTTGGAAATATAGGCATGTACCACCATGTCCTGCCATATTCTGTTTTTGAATTTTTTAATATACTTAAAATTAGTTATTAAGTAAGATAAGAAGAAGGAATGTTACACCGTGGTTAGAAATTTTCCAAGGCCTTAAATACACATAAGAGCTGGTGGATGATTTGGCACACTCTTGTAACCCCAGACACCTAGAGGAGCTAAGGCAGGAGGATTTCATTTTGAGGACAGCTTGGGCAATTTTGCAAGATTTTCTCAAAAAAATAAAATGACCTGGGCAAGTAGCTCAAGCATAGATTGCTTGCATAGCACGCGCAAGGCCCTTGGGGTCATCCCCAGTATCTTACATGTGCATACAACCAACAACAATAATAAAACTGTGATACTTTTTTTTTTGATACCTTTTATTTAGCAATTGTATTTGTGAATTTATCTTAGAGTTAAGAAGTCAGGTGTGGTGGAATACCCTTGTAATTCAAGCATTCTGGGAGGCTGAGGCAGGAAGATCACAAGTTCAAGCCTATCCTGAGCAATTTAGCAAGACTATCTCAAAATTTTAAAAATGGGCAGGAAATGTAGCTCAATAAAGGCCTGGGATTCAAGTCTTGATACCACTCCTCAACTCCCAAAATGATGGGCACACAAAAGCTTCACTATTATTTTGTGTGCTATGTAGTTTAGGTTAGCCTTGAACTCTTGATCCTCCTGCTTCAGCTTCCCAAGTGATGAGATTGCAGGCCTGTCTCACTGCACTCAGCTGGGTATTGATCTTTTCTGCTGTTTGTGATATGAAATTAAACGTGCCAGGCATGATGGCACACACTTGTAGTCCTAGCTACATGGGAGGTTGAGGCAGAAAAATCACAAGTTCAAGGCCAACATAGTACTGTTTAGTAGCACCATATAGTGAGACCCTATCTCAAAAACAACAAACAAAAACCGAAAAACTCTTCGGCCCCGGTTATGTACACTCTTTTTGAATGCAGCTCTCCATGAAGATGTGCCATGGTCTGTTCCAGGTCTGTCAGGTGGAGAGTAATGTTACTTTATAATAGGTTAGATAATTACAGGCTCTGTAGGCTGTCAGTCCATTCATCACTGGTAGTTAATTCAGTTAGTGGCTCAAACTGGAGGCAAATTAAAAAAACTTCCCGTGTTAACTTAATTTTTCCTGTTGCCTGCTGGGCACATTTAATTACCTTTATAAAATTCTGTCATCACCACCTTTTCCAGTAATTTGAGGCTTTAAAATGTGCTTTTCTGGATGTGGTCTAATTGTCTTTGTTATTCTCAAAGCATCTTAAAAATCTACCTTGAACAGTGCTTGTGTGAGTTGTTCATTTTATTGAATGAATGCCTTAGCGTGAAAGCAGAAGCTGTATGATTTCTGGCCGTTAGCCTCAGTATTTATGAGTCAGTGTTTTCAAGCTCATTTTCTTAATAGAGACAGCTTTTCGGATTTATTGTGAATGTTTTCTTTATCAACAGGACAAAGCAGGACCTCATAAGGAAATCTACCCCTATGTCATCCAGGAACTGAGACCAACTCTGAATGAACTGGGAATCTCCACTCCAGAGGAGCTGGGCCTTGATAAAGTGTAACCCACAGGTGACAGTTGGGCTGAGCTGGCAAAAGAGCCTGGGGATGGGGGCGGCAGCTCCTGAGAGGCCTTCCTGTGGGAGGATGGTTGGGAGCAGGAGGAGTGAGTACTGTGGTGATGCTAAATTGAAGGAACTGAAATTGTTTAGTAATAATTGAGCGAAGTGTGGTGATGGTGCACACCTGTGATCCCAGCTCTCAGTAGGCTGAGGCAGGAGGCCAGCCTGGGCTCCAGTGAGTTCAAAGTCAGCCTGAACTGTATAGTGAAACTCTGTGTCAAAAAGACAAAAATGTCTCTTCTCCCCTCCCCTCCTCTGTCTCCCTGTCTGTCTGTCTCTGTCTGTATCATTCTTATTAGACAATCTCAGGGTCTTGCTATGCAGTTCAGGCTAGTCCTGAACTCACCATGTAGCCCAGGCTGGTCTTGTACTCACAGCAATCCTCCTGCCCCAGCCTCCTGAGTGCCAGGATGACAGGTGTGCACCACCACATCTGCCTCAGTGGAATTTTCATCTTTGTCTCCTCCCAAGCACAAACTCCCTGAAGCTGGGCAGGATTATTATTATTACTATATATGGTCTTTTTGAGACAGGGTCTCACTATGTAATTCAAGCTGGCCTGGCTGGTCTTAAACTTGCAATAATCGTCTTTCCTCAGCCTTCCAAGTGCTGGAATTACAGGCATGGTGCCACCATGTCCAGCAGCAGTTTCTTATTATAACATGGCCAGGGTATTGTTGTGCTACTACAGATTTTTCTGAGTATCATACTTGGAGAGTATCCAGAAAAGAGAATTTCCTACTTACATTTTTGAAGTTCTTGTTGGTAGTTATTTTCTTACAAGAAATTCTTAACAGGTTGCTTAAATCTTGGGCTTTATTTTTCCTCCCAGCAATCCACAAGATCTTTGGTATGTAGGATGTACTCTAGCTGGAGTGTTAATTCTTTTTATTTGTTTTGTGAGACAAGGTCTCACTGTGAATTCCAGGCTAGCCTTTAACTCCCAGCAATCCTCCTGCATCAGTCAACTGAGGACAGTGATTGTAGGTATGTACCCACCACACCACTGTGTTAGGCATGGTAAGATTTCTTTCTTTCTTTTTTTTTGTAAGTCACTTTAGCTGGTGTGTAGGCCAGTTCCAGAACACATGCTTAGAATATGTATGGCCCAGAAAAGAATACTAAAGATAAAGCTTCTATTTTTTCTTAATTTTTTCCTTGCTAATATTTTGTATTTTTTCTTCCAGACGGGCTTCCTCCTCAAGGATTTCTTGACTGTGCTACTTGATTGTAATTGTAAACAATCGCCTGGAAATGCTGATGATAACATATTACCTTATTTGAACAAGTTTTCCTTTATTGAGTACCAAGCCATGTGATTGATGGTAACCTGGACTTTAATAAATGGGAAATGAGTTCGAACCGAGATTAGGTATTATTTCATTCTTTGCACTGAGATGCAGAAAAAGAAGTGGCCTAGGCCTTAGCTTGGTATTACACCTTCCTACTGCCAGGCAAACTGCTTTGCCCCCCACCAGGAAAGCCAGCTTTATCAGCAGCTGTGAGTGCCCTGCTGCCAAACCAGCTGATGGCTGAGAGTCTCTGGGAAATTATTTCCTTCTTAAAAGGGTCAAAAAGCTTCTGGCCTCCGCGTCTGACCATGGGGTAAAGTTCAAAGGCAGAAGATGGAAGAATAGATGGAAAATCCTGAAGATGTAGATGGGAAACTTTGTCATATCTGCTGCTTTTTCTTAGTGCCCTCTCCTCCCCTCCTGTTCTTCCCTGGAGGTGCAGTGTTCACCCTGGACACCAGGGTGTTTTATGCCTAGAGGTATGGTGCTTAAAGAACAGATGTGAGGTAGGGCATCACCTGGGAAAGAGGAGAGAAACAAGTGTTACACCCTGACTGGGGTGGAGTTGTAAGACCCTCCTGGTAAAACCCTCCCGGATGTGTTACACAGTAGAAACCTCCCTCACTTCAACTCTGGTTTTTTGTTTCTGAAGAGGATCTCACTGTGCAGTGCAGGCTGAACACTAAGTGACCCTTAGCCTCCTGGGTGCTAGGGTTACAGCTCTGCACCCCCTGCGCCTGGCAGTGTTGACATTTTACTTCTTTTTTTGTTTTGTTTTGTTTTTATCCTTACCAGGGATCGAACTCACGACTGCCTGCTTGCAAGGCAGGCGCTTATGCCGCTGAGCTAAATCCCCAGCCCCCGACATTTTACTTCTAAAAACATTTTCCTATGAGCCGGGCATGGTGGCATGCACCTGTAACCCCAGCATTTGGGAGGCTGAGCCAGGAGGATTACTGGGAGTTACAGGCCAGCCTGGCCTATATAGTAAGTTCAAGGTCACTCTAGACAAGTGCTTTACTGCTGAGCTATATCCCATCCCTGTTTTTTCCAGTTATAACATTCCATGTTTTGTTTTGTTTTTTTAACTGGGAATTGAACTCGGGACCTTGTGTTTGCCTAGCAGGCACTGAGCTGAGCTATATCCCCAGCCCACATGTTCGTTCTTTTTCTTTCTTTCTTTCTTTCTTTCTTTCTTTCTTTCTTTCTTTCTTTCTTTCTTTCTTTCTTTCTTTCTTTTCTTTCTTTCTTTCTTTCTTTCTTTCTTTCTTTCTTTCTCTTTCTTTCTTTCTTTCTCTCTCTCTCTCTCTCTCTCTCTCTCTCTCTCTCCCTCTCTCCTCTCTCTCTCTCCTCTCTCCTCTCTCCTCTCTCTCTCTCATTCACCCATATGTTCTTGAAACAGTGAAGAAAACAAAAATGGTAAAAATATGCTTCACAGGCCAGGGATGTGGCTCAGCAGCACAGTGCCTGCCCCTGCAAGCACAAGATTCTGAGTTGGATCCCTGGTACCAAACATATACATAAATTATATCACATTCAGCAACGCATTTGCTCAGTGTTGTGGCTTAAACATTGTTATAACTTATGACTAAGCCTTATGCTACTAAAAGCCATACCGTTTAACTTGTTTATATTATTTCCTTTAAGATAAAAGCAGGCAGCCCAGTGTGGTGGTGCATACCTCTAATCCCAGCACTCTGGGGAGGCTGAGGCAGGAAGACCACAAGTTCTAGCTCAGCTTGGGAAACTTAGCAACTTAGTGAGACCCTGTCCCAGAGTGAATAATAAGAAAGGGTGGGGGAAGTGGCTCAAGTGAAGGCCTGGGGTTCAACCTGTAGTACTGCAAACTGGGGGGGGGGGGTGGTGGTGGTGGTGGAGTCAAACTAGGACCAGGGACTAAATGTTGCCTATACCTTGTGTTTATGTTTTTACAATGGTTGAAAAATCAGTATTCCACAGTCTGTGAAAGTTACAAAATTTTGTCTACAAACAAGGTTTTACTGGAACCCAGCTGCACGTATCCATCACATGCTAACAATGGCTGCTTTTTGGCTTTTAAAAAAATTGTGATAAAATACACATAAAACATACTGCTTTAACCATTGTCTAGTGTCCAGCTCAGTGGCACTAAGTGCGTCTGCACAGTCGTGTATTATCTTTTACTTTATTTTCTTTGCAGTCCCACAGATGGGACCCAGGTGATTCATACTGAGCTACACACCCAACCCTTTTCTATGTTTTTATTTTGAGACGGGTTCTTCCAGGCTAGGCTCAGGCTTGCAGTCCCCCTGCCTCAGCTTCCCAGACTGCTGGGACTCTCGGGGTGTGCCCCACAGCTGGCCTGTCATGCATTATCCATGGGTATTTTGTAGTTGAGACAGAGACTTCATGATTCACAAGATCAAAAATACTTACCATTTGGCCTTTAGCTGATTCCAGAAAAAGTTTGCTAATTCTTAATATAAAATAGAAATAATCTTGAATGCAAACTTTTTTTTTTTTTGCAAGCAAACTTCTAAATCACAAGACCTTTTGTTTGTTTCTCAGTACTGACTGAGGATTGACTCCAGAAAGCTCCAAGTTACATTCTCAGCTATTTTTTTTATTTTATTTTTGAAGTGGGTTTGTGAACAATATAGAAATCCAAGCAGCCAAAATGATAAATTTGGAACTTTATTAGCAGAGCTCAGGACCACTCATAGACCCCTGTTTCAGAGTCTCTCTAAAATGGCCCTGAACTGGAAAGTTACAAGCTTTTAAAACAACCACAAAAAGACATCCTGTTGGAAACAATTTAGCTAGAATCTTACATTAATTTTTGGTTGACACCTGTATCCTGCTTTGTTGAGCAGGCTAGTTTTTCTCTTGCTGCAGCTTATTTTGCTCCCCCCTCCTTACCGGTGTTCAAACTCACAACCGCCTGCTTGCAAGGCAGATGCTTAGGCCACTGAGCTAAATCCCCAGCCCCAGAACAGCTGACTCTTAAAGATTCTGTCCTAATAAAATGAGGTCTTTCTTTTCCTGTGCATTACTATGAAATTTTTGTTTGCCAGTTTTTTGTTTTGTTTTGTTTTTTTGTTTTTTGGGGTTTTTTTTTTTGAGACGGGGTCTCGCTATGCAGTTCAGGCAGGCCTTGAGCTCACTTTGTAGCCCAGCCTGGTCTCGAACTCGCAAAGATCCTCCTACCTCAGCCTCCCGAGTGCTGGGATTACAGGCGTGAGTCACCAGTGTATTTAGCAAGCCAATAAATTTTTCTATACTTCATATACAGACATTTTTCCCTCATAAACTATTTAAGTTTTTAAAAAACTAGTGCATATTCTTTATACAGATTGGTTACATTCATGATAGGGAATTTGTGCTTGTACATAATATAATTAATTTTTTTCTCATCCCCCTCCTGTGTTGGTTGTTTTCCTCTTGTTGCTGAGACAAGATAGCCAACACCCAAAACTAAGGAAGAAAAGGTTTATTTAGCTCCCTGTTTGTGGAGGTTTCAGTCTATAATCAGCTGGCTCTAAGACAGTTCCAGATGGCAGAAGACAGCAAAGCAACAGGAACAAAGGGTAGGGAGAACAAGCCTCTTTGTATTTATACTGTAAACAGGCTACTCCCCCATCAGGTTGGTTGTAGCAATCACAAAATCTCCATGCCCTCTTGCATAGGCTGAGGATGTTTACAGAGTAAGGACCCTGGCCCCTTGCTGAGTCATTTAAACTTCTGACCTCAAATTAACAATGGACAGCATCCTAGAGGTTTTTTTTTTTTTTTTTTTTTTTTTGTCTTTTTCCTTTTTATCAGTAAGGGGATCGAACTCAAGACTGCCTGCTTGCAAGGCAGGCACTTAGGTCGCTGAGCTAAGTCCCCATCTTAGAGCTTTAACAGCTTGTCCTCTACACCCCTGGATAGAGAGCTGCTGAGTTACCTAAGCTTGTAGAACTTGTCAAATTTGCCAATACGTTTAGGAAGCCAATAAATCTGTATATACCTCATCTAAAGACATTTTTTTCAGGCCAGGGATTTAGCTCAGTGGCACAAGTGCCTGCCTGGCAAGCATGAAGTTGTGAGTTTGATTCCTGGTACCAAAAAAAAAAAAAAAAAAAACAGACATTTTTTTCCTCATGACTATTTAACTTTTTAAAAAATATTTTTTATGGGCTGGAGATTTAGCTCAGCGGCATAAGCACCTGCCTTGCAAGCAGGCAGTCGTGAGTTTGATCCCCGGTGCCGATAAAAAAATATATAATTTTAAATTAACTTTTTAAATAGTTAGTACTTATTGGGGCTGGGGATTTAGCTCAGCGGCATAAGTGCCTGCCTTGCAAGCAGGCAGTCTTGGGTTCAATCCCCAGTACCTATAAAAATGAAAAAGACAAAAAAAAGTTAGTACTTACTTTTCACACAGATCACATTCATCATAGGGAATTAATATCTGTACATAATATATTTTAATTAATTTTTTCCCCATTGCCTCCCTCGTAACCATTGAACAGTAAGTCAGAGGCATGACACTTTGCTCCTAAATACTCTAACAGACATATAAAAATAAGTTTTTCTTCCCATACAACCACTACTTGAGGCTTTAAGAAGTTTGATGTAAGTCGGGCATGGGAGGTATAAGCCTATAATCATTGCACCCCAGAGGCTGAGGGAGGATGATCAAACATTCAAGGCCAGCCTGGATTCCATATACCCTGTTTCAAAATACCAAAAATAAAAAATTTTGGCATAGCAAGGAGTCATGATCCATGCTGTAATCCCAGCTACCCAGGAAGGGTCCAACTATAATGAGGAGGAGGATCCTAACTGTAATAAGGAAGGGCTACTAGACTTTGCTTTTTGAGACAGCGTAATTAGAAGAGCCTGTCTTGCTGATGTGGTGGCACATCCCTGTAATCTCAGTACTTGGGAGGCTGAGGCAAAAGGATTGCTGTGAGTTTGAGGCCAGCCTGGGTTCCAAAATGAGTTCAAGGCCAACCTGAACTACATAGACCCTGTCTTAAAAAAAAAAAAAAATGCTGGTGATAATAGTCCAGTGAGAAAGCACTGGGTTCAAGTCCCAGTAACAAAGTGAAAGGAAGAAAAGAAGGTGGTCAAAAATACAGTTAATGCTTAATTTTTAAAAATTATTACAGTATTCACTGACACTCAGGGTTGTAAAAAGAAAAAAAATTATTACAGTAAAGCCTTGTGTGTTGGTGCACACCTGTAATCCCAGTATCCAGGAGACTGAGTCAGGAGGATTGCCATGAGTTCAAGACCAAACTGGGCTACATAGTGAGACCCTGTCTCAAAAAACCAAAAAGTAATAAATGAAAATTATTAGAATAAAAGACATTGCCATTAATTGTCAGACTATTCCCCCCTTACTGCAAATACACTATTTTTGTCACTTTATTCATCAGTTCTGGAAGTGCTCTTTATTTGGTCAAGCTGTTGTAGCTGTCTCAATGCTCTGAATCAATTCAAAACTTTTCCCTTATGGTCATTTGACTTTTTTTTTTTTTTTAAGTGTTTTTGAAACAGGGTCTTGGCATGCAGTTTAGGTTGAGCTTGTGCTCACTTTGCAGCCCTGGTCTTGAACTTACAACAATTCTGCCTCATCCCCCCAAGTGCTGGGATTACAGACGTGCACCACCATGCCAGCTTCATTTTGACTTTCAGGAAGAGCCAGAAGTTGTGTGGTGCCAGATCCAGTGAATAAGATGGATGAGGACACGACTGTTTATTATTGGAAATTGTTGCTAATGAGCAGTAATTCAAATATATAGTAAATGTTTCTTAAAATTTACCAGTAAGCAGCCTCTTCATACACATGAAGAGGTTCAGATCTTCATGTTCACTTTAAGAACACTAAGGAAGCTTGGTGTGGTGGCTCATGGCTGTAATCCCAGCACTTGGGAGGCTGAGGTGGGAGGGTCATTTCGAGTTCGAGACCAGCCTGGGCTACAAAGTGAGCTCAAGGCCAGCTTGAACTGCATAGTGAGACACCGTCTCAAAAAAATGACAAAAAAAACCAAAACAAAACACTAAGGAAGCTGCCATGCCCAGCCATCAAGGGCATTCATACCCAGAAGTGTGTCTGTGCTCCTGTGATGGTGGGGTGGCAGCTTTGCCCAGGGCACACAGTGGGGCAGGACTCAGTCAGTGACCAAAAACAGTGCTTTAATTTTTGGTGCATGTGTTTAAACATGCAGAGTAACACTGACTTGAAGGGTTTAGGCACAGATACTCTTTGGCCACTCAACACCCCCAAGGCAAGCAAAGTGCCAAAGATGCACTATTGGCCAACACAGCTCAGAGTCAGATTCCCCCATTCTCAAATTGCTCCCAAACCAAAGGAGGAGGCTGCCTAGATGAAAAAGACATCTCAGAAGAAACTGAAGAAGCAAAAACTTACAGTGCTGGAGTAAAGTAACTGTAAAGTAAAAAATACCAAATTGAGGGGCTGGGAATTTAGCTCAGCGGCATAAGTACCTGCCTTACAAGCCTGTGGTCTTGAGTTCGATCCCTGGTACCGGTAAAAATTTGGAAAAAAAAAGAAGCACCCAAATCAATTACGGTAAAAGATATATGAACCTCTTTCAAAATACTCCCACTCGATTTCACACAATCCATCCTTCTTAGCAATGTCTTTTGTGGTAAAAGTTTTTTTTTTTTAAATTTTAAGCATTCACTGTTTCCATCACTTCCTTATAAATAAATAAAAATATCCGGGCAGGGGATTTAGCTCAAGCACAAGGTCTTGAGTTCAATCCCCAGTACCCAAAAAAAAAAAAAAAAAAAAAAAAAAAAATCCAAATCCATTGATCCTCCTGCCTCAGCCTCCTTAGTAGTTGAGACAAGTAGCAAAACCAGGAGAAAAATCACTTCTTTGGAATTTACAAGGACTTTGGTTCAAATTTCAGGTTGACAGTTGAATGGTGAGTTCCTATAAAAAACTGGCTTTCCTGGAAAGTCACTGTTAAGCATTCAGCTGGGCCACATGCAACTGATGTTTCCAGAGATCAAAAGCAGCCCAATAGATCATGCAAGGGGTGGGATCCATGTGCCTGATTTTTCAACTCCAGGACTGAATTCTTCCCTTTCTCCCATCCTGCCTCCAGCACAGTGCAGCCAACAATTAGGGTCAGCTCCGAGGCCCCAGCCCATTCTGCTGTACAGGCCTGTAGAGGCTGACACTCGGGCTGAGACACAGCCCTGAGGTTCAAGGCTCCTCCAAGGATCGGGAGCTCATTTCCAGCAGGCCTTGGGGGCCGAAGAAGCCAAAAGTATGACACAACACCTTGACCAGCCACATTCAGGCCAGTTTCCTAGTGCAGATGTGGTTACTACACAACTGGAAAAGAATTGGCTCCCCTATATTTATTTTGCTGTGCTAGGAATCAAACCTAGGGGTTTGCACTGCTAGATAAGTGCTTTCCTGCCCAGCACCCCTTCACCCACTTTACATGAAGTTGAGGAGCTCTGGGGAAGGGTAACCAATGCCAAGGTCTCACGTACCATGCGTAGCCTGTCATCCCAGCATTCTGGGAGGCTGAGGCAGGAAGACTGCAAATTCTGGGATTAGCATTGGATCCACCTGTTCAGACACTGGTGCCAGTGTTGTTACCTTCCTGAATTTCTCACTGGTTTCCTATTCTGGAATGGGGTGGGAGATGCTAGTACCTCTTTGCCTCCTTTTTTTTTTTTTTTTTTTTTTTTCCATAGGGTCTCCCTATGCAGTTCAGACTAGCCTTGAGGTCACTTTGTAGCCCAGGCTGGTCTTGGCCTTGTAACGATCCTCCTGCCTCAGCCTCCCAAGTGTTGGGATCATAGATGTGCGTCGTGCCCGACTACTCTTTCGGATTGAGAGGGTCTCGGCAGGTAGTCCAGGGTGCCCTGTTGCTCATAGTGAGACTTCTGCCTCAGCCGCCCGTGTACTGGGATCACAGTCACACGCCGGCGGCGCATAAATACCCATTTTCTCACTGGAAACAACTGAGCGCTGGGACAGCACCAGGGTCACAGGCACTTCAATCCCGTAGCGCGCTGGACCAGCAGGACGCAACCTTCCGTGCCCCTCGCAGGAGGAACTGTTGTGCCACGCGCCTTACATGCCCACCGGAAGGCGTCGAGGGACGGCCCGCGCACGCACACCGCCATCTTGCTGCCGGAGCGCCGCCCGCCGCTGGCACTAGAGCCTCGGAGAGGGGCGGCGTCGCCGGCCGGGCAACGCCTGGCCATGGCGACCGCGGATCCTGGCGGCTGCACGGCTCCAACTTCGACTGTCGCGTCTCGGGCAGGCTCGGGCCCGGAGCGCGCGGTAGGGGCTGCGGGCCTCTCCTCGGGAAGGAGAGGCTGGGAGCGCGTGCCCGCGACTGTGGAGAAACGCGGGCCATACACGGTGGCGCGCGCGCCATCCGTCCAGGCTAAGCTGCGTGCGTGGGGTGGGTCCTGGGAGGTCCCGGGTGACAAGGGTACTGGGAAGACGCGGCTGACCGGGCCCTTTGCTTTCCAGAGAAGCACCGGAACCTGGCCAAGGCAATGCTGCGGAGGAAAGGCGTGCTGGGCTCCCTGCCGAGCCGCCCCGACTCTTCGGGGAAAAGGTCTCTTCGGGCTACATCTCCGGGGCCGGCCGCATCCCCAAGCTGTCTTCGGCTTCGGGGTCACGGCTGCGTCTGGGGCTCCTCTGATGGCGCCGTCAGGTTTACTCTGGAAAATGAAAGAGGCATGACATCCCCAGGAAGCGTCCTCTTAAGAGAGTGACATCTCCAGGAAAGGGCTTTGGAATGAGGGAGTCAGGCAGTGCAAGAGATTCTCCCTGGAGTGTCCTAAGTGACACTCCAGGAGGAGCCTGGTGGCTGCAGGCCCCAGGAGAGAATGGACATCATCGTGGAAAAGGCCACTGCTGTGTTCTGGCTAAGCTCTCAGAGCTGGATAGGTGGAAACACCTCATCCAGTGTTTCCCTTAGCAACTGAGAGCTGAAAACCGCAGAGTCGAAGAGATTTGGTTTTGGTCCTTTAGTTAAAGTGTAGGGTTTCTTTTCCTGGCTCCTGAAAGGTCTGGCATGCTTCTTCCAGGAGCAGGCACTGTGTGTGTGTAGTGTGTAGTGTGTGTAGTGTGTAGTGTGTAGTGTGTGTGTATTGTACCCTGAGGTGCCAGGTGTTGGAGCTATAAGCAGTCGGCAGTGTGTTCAGGTAGATGACAGCTCTACCAGGAATATGTAGTTTTGTCCTTCCATAGGGTAAGGACTCCGGCTTTTCCTGCAGAGTGCCTGGCTTTCAACTGTGCTTGGTCTCTCCTTGTTTCTCAGGTCAGTGAGGTTTAACAAGGGCTACACTGCTCTAAGCCAGAGTCCAGATGAGAACCTGGTGTCCCTCGACTCTGACAGGTGAGCATGCCCCCTAGAGAGTGCTGCAGTACCTGGTGCCTCCAAGGTCTTTGTGCACACCTGGCCCTTCTCAGGATGTCTGGGTAGTCACACTGCTCTAGGGTCTGGAGCACTCATGTCCCACGGATACCACCTGACCTGATAGGTCTGCACCATTAGTGAGAGTGACCCCATTCCTGCTGGGACCCATTGAGGCAGCAGTTGCACACTATGCTGGTTCTGAGCTGAGTGCTCTGGTGCGTGGTCAGCTCACAGATCACCTGGACCCATGCATGCTGTCCACCTCACCACCTGCCACTGTGCTCTGAGGCCTCCTTTGATCTGACCATGTTCCTCTTCTCCTAGCGATGGGGAACAGGAATCCAGATACTCCTCCGGGTACTCCTCTGCCGAGGCAAGTCCAGATCGCCCTTTTGCGGGGGGCCACACTGTGGGCAGCCTAATCACCCCGCCAGATGTGGGCGTGGTACCTGCTGTGTGCACAGCACTGTACCAGAGTTCTGGTCTGTTTTCTGCTCTTCCATTTCCCCATAGAGGTATAAGGATCTTAGGAGGGCTGTGGACAACCAGGAGATGCATCCTCAGGGTTGGAGATGATGATTTCTCTTCATAGATCCCAGCTAAGGGTTCACTAGCCTCTGCTCACTTGGATGCTTGTAGTAATTATGTGTTTACTACCTTTAAGAAACCTTGCCTGCTGCCCTTCCAGCAAACAGAAACCTAAATCCTTCTTCAGTAGCTTTTAGTACATTCTTCTTTCTTTCTTTCTTTCTTTCTTTCTTTCTTTTTTGGCTTTTTGAGATACGGTTTCACTATGCAGTTCAGGGTGGCTTTGAATTCACTTTGTAGTCCAGGCTGGCTTCAAACTTTGAGCAATCCTGGCTCAGCCTCTAGAAAACCCGTGGGTAATCTCTTGAGTTCCCATGAAAGAGAATAGAAGCAGTATGGATGTGGTTCTCCTTGAATGCCTGAGAGGTTAAGATAAAAGTAAAATAAAAGTAAACTTTTATTAAAATAAAAGTAAACTTAGCTAAGAACCAAAGGCTCATTTATTTTGTCTGCCCAGTGTAACTGGTGAAACCAGGCTGACTAGTTCCATATTGCAGGGACCCAGCTCTGGACCAGGGCCAGGAATGATGACAGGTCTAACAGGCAGTATAGACAAATCTGCCCCCTCCTGTCATAAGCCATATTCCTCTACTGCTCTAGCCCATTTTTCTGTTGTCACTGTCTCATATCCTTTGGCCTTGACAGGAACATCTGGGTTCCTGAGGGAAGGGTCAGGGAAATGACTATCAAATGATCTAGAATTTAAAACTGGTATCAGCTGTCAGGATTCTTCAGTGATAGCAGTTCCCCGGGGGTGGGGGTGGGGGTCACTGACATCAAGCCTGGAGGGTATTAGTGAAGGTACAGCTTGGAGAAAGTGGTGCTTCCTGTAGTCCTGGGACAGTTTGGGTAGAGAGTGGGCGTGGGATGGAGCATGGGCAGAAGCTCTGTTTTCAGAATGTGGGAGCAGCTGTCTCTGCTTGGCATCTGGGCTTACAGTTCCCACCTTGCCTCCTTTTAGCAGGTGAACCAGGATGTAAATCGGCAGCTGCTTCAGGATGGCTATCACCTGGATGAGATTCCAGACGACGAGGACTTGGACCTCATTCCCCCCAAGCCTATGACCTCCTCCACATGCTCCTGCTGCTGGTGCTGCCTTGGGGACTCTTCCTGTACCCTCCAGTAGACAGAAGCCTCCAGCATGGGCCCTGTTTACCATGAGGCAGATAGAGCCTGCTGTCCTGCATATCCCAGCCCAGTGGGGACAGCTCTCAGCCCAGAAGCTCGGAGACACTAGCCCTCTGCGATGTGCTTCTCAGGCTGGAGGCCTAGTGGGCCATGGGGTTGATGAGTGAAATTCCACACTTTCCCTCCATTGTCGGTGCAGTTTGGAAAAGCTGCTTAGTAAGGGCAGAAGCAGTGGAGTTAGGGTTCACGAGGTGGCTGACGGAGGTAGCTGAGAAGCACACCACAGACATCTTGACTATGTTTGCTGTGGGTCTTAAGGGAAAGAACAGCTTTTGTGTCCAGGCTTTTGTGTGGAGGCGGAATGTAGCACTTCACAGCTCAAAGTTGGGACTCCAAAGAGGAATTTAATTTGGAAAGCCCAGGAAATTCTGTAAGTTGCCCTCCTTTTCCCGTCTCTTAGGTGGATTCATAGTTGTGACCTTCAAGAGCACAGTGCAGGTCCTTCTGTCCCTCTTCAGGTTAACACCTGTCTGGCTATGGCAGGGAGTATAGCAGATGGCTTCCAGTCCCTGGACCTAGGACAGCTGTCTGGTGGGTTAACTCTGGTTGGCCGCTCCCTAGTTAGAGAAAAACTGCTTCATCCTAGATGTACTTATTTATTTAGATTTCCGCAGTCCTGGCTGGCTTCTCCACCCATCTTATGCTGAGGCTGCACTGAAGGTACTGGGGTTGGCCATAAACGCCTGCAGTTTTTGAGGCTCCCAGCAGAGGGAGTTATTGCAAGGGCAGTCGTCTGCTTCCTTGTTCAGCCTTTTTACTCTGGAGACAGCAGTAGGTGTCTTTGGTGTACTATGTGTGGTGTGGCTGGGATGAAGACCCAAGCCATCAGGCAGGATGTGAAGAAGAGACCTTAACCAGCTTCCAGGAATAGTGACCCAGTGGCCAGTGCAAAGGCCTCCTTTCCACCCTATGGCCAGGCAGCTCCCTAGTGAGTCTTTACCAGCGCTTGCCTAGTTAGTGGGTGAAGCCCTGGGAAAATCCACAAGCACTGGGCTTTATAGCAAGCCTTGGGGCAAACATTGACAGTACAAACGTTGTGACCCCGATGGAGAGTTTCTCTTGGTATCCCTAGCCTTCCCAGAACGAGTTTTGTGACCCATCCCTCTTCCTGCCTCAGGTGTGGTACAGTTGGAAAGGGGGTGAATGGAGTTCACAGCCCCCAGTGCATGGCAGTCAGGACGAGTGTGTGGAGCATCCAGTCTCTTGTTTCCCACATGTTCTTTGACCACTGAGAGACAGTAGACTCACAGCTTCATTAGAATAGGTGGGTAGAAGGGACACTCGTCACTATTCCCAGGAAGGCCATCTTAGCAGTGCTCCATAGCTTCTGTGTTTCTGACTCTGAGGAGTATGCAGCACAGGTGAGCTGTGTGATTGGTCTGCTGCTGGTGGTGTCACAGGACGGGAACAGACAGACCCAAGGCCCATCCATCCGGTCAGGGCTGGGATAGGGCAGGTGGTGGCCACTTTGTTCTGCAGTGGGTCTCTAATGATCCAGGTGCCTCAAGTTCTGAGCTGTCTGCAGCAGAGAACACACATGGGCCTCTCAGGCTTCCGTACAAGGAAGAGTGCACATCAAAGTGGGCAGACGATAAAGTGCACTAGAGGCTAAGGGGTAGGGACATGGAAGCCACATGTGGGGCCATGTTTGAGGGGCTCCTGGCTAGAACTGAACATCCTGGGTATTTGGGACCTAAGCCATGCCCTCTGTGTAGCCACCAACAGTTCCCTGAGGGTATGTCCCAGAATCTGGAGCCCTAGAGGAAGGCCTTGTGGCAGGACCACCTGGTCAGCTAATGGGGCAGGGTCACAGACCAAATACTACCGATTAAGGTACCAAGGTGCCCAGAGCCACACTGCCTTAAATCAGAGCAAGGGATGCTGCACAGGTGACAGTCGCCTGGGGGAGGGATGCCTAGGGCTTTCTCCCCGGTGGGGGTGGTTCCACCTGGTGTTCACAGTGCTTGACAGACTTCCTCAGCTTTTACCTCTGCATTCTATATGCTAATGAATAAATGCACTCACGCTGAGTTGTCTCGTGTGTCACAAATGGATTTTAAGGCTTGAACACCCTGCAACAACATAACGTGGTGGGCCAACCTTGTGGCCACACCTGGGTCCCCTCCTCTCACTAGAGACCATGCATGGCCTTTCAGAGAACTCACCTTCAGAATGCATTTCTTCTGGCAACCTTTTCATTTTTTTTTTTCTCCTTAAAGAAATTTTGGAGGCAAAGCAGAAACTAGAGATTGTACGTAGAACCTTTGCTCTGAGCTGCACCCCTGGCCCTTCTTTCCTCTCTAGGATAGGAGTTAAGTTGTCCAGGCTGGACTCAAACTTGGGGTGCTGCTGTCCCAGCCTCCCAGAGTGGTGGGCTTACAGGCATGCACCACCACACCTGGCTATCAAAACATTTTTTAAGGTGGGTTTCTGAACTCTTCAATGACGGCTCTAGTGTGGGCAAGAGTCTACACTCTTGTCCTGCAGGGAGGGGGAGCCAGGAGCCTGAGTCTGCTTAGTTAGGGACGACAGGGTCAAGACCACAGGCCAGAGAGCTCAGTGAAGTCACAGAAGGTAGCAGCCTCTTGCAGGATCCCAGCCCTGGAGAGAATTGGATGATTCTGTTCCCAAAGCCCGGTCATCTGCAATGACTCAATCCACTTAAAGGGGCTGTCAAGTTTTTCTGGAAAGGCTGACAGTAGTTTCAACTCTGTGGCAGGGTGCTTACCTGCCTGCCACGTCTCAAGAGCTGACCAGGGCTGCAGGAGTAGGGTCTCACACTGCTGACAGCTCACCCCTTGATCTGCCTCTCTGCTGATGCCTGCCTTCAAGTGTGCAGCTGAGGCTGAGGCTGAGGCTGGCTTCCTCGCCCACATCTTCCATTATAGATTCTGGAGCAGGGCCAGCCACCCCCAGGAGTTGACTGAGGAGGAACAAAGGAAAACCTGGGCCGCATCCAGGGCGGGCTCTTCCAGCCCGGTGCAGGGACAGAACACAGACAAATGCTCTACTTACAGCCGACACAGCAAGCTTTAATCCCTTTGACAGTGCAGGAGGGCCCCTCCCCCGTTGGCTCTGAAACGGGACAGCAGCCTCAGGCAAAAACCTGCTTCTAGTCCCACTGTTGGGTGCTGAGCTAAATCAGGACCATAGGTTTCACCAAACAGCCTGATGCTGTGAGAGGCACAGAGCTACCACCTCAAGTTGACATGGCCAGGCTTGGGGGTGTGGTGAGAACTGATGAGATAGCAATGTCAACCTTGTCCTGAAGATGTCTTGGGCTGAGGTTGTCCTGGAGTCACAACCTGCAAGCTCCCTGCTGGCCTATTGTTAAGTGTATGGAGATTGCAGAGCGGAAGGGACTTGAGTGACCAGCAGGGGACAGCTGGGGAGGCTACTGCTGCTCCAGCAGGCAGCAGGCCCGGAATAGCAGTAGGTCCTCAGGTGTAGTAAGCTTCAGCGTGACACTCTCATTGGCCCCAATAAAGAGCACACTGCCACGCTGCAGGCGGATGGGGGCTTGGGCTGTGGGTGAGCTGGCTGTCACTGTCCCCTTCAGCACCAGGAGGATGCTAGCAGAGTCCAGCACTAAGATCTTATATTCAATGACGGAGCCAGGGACCTGCACAGGGAGAAACATTGGACAGTACAGCCAGACTTGGCTCCAGGCCCAGGACAACCTCCAGGGCAGCCAGGAACAGCTCTACCACCTCCCACCCACTGTTCAGGTTCTTGTCAGCATGGGGGCCACACCTGTCCCTGGAACAGACAGGATGGACCTCAGCTGCTTCCATCCATGTGAGCTGGAGAGAAAGGACACCCATCCCAAGTATACACTGTACTGTGACACCTGCCCAGGTTGGTCCCATTGCACACAGGAGACCCACAATACCCTTCTCACCTCCATCTTCATCACGGTGAAGTCTGGCACAGGGGGGTCATAGATGAAGAGGTAGGGGTCTTCCTGACTCTGTGATGGGGGGAAAAGCCTGTCCTTGCTGGGACTGGGAGTGTAGCTGAGCATGTCACAAAGGGTTGGCACATCAATGAACTTGGGTGTCAGGCCAGCACGCACTGTGTTGTCTGAACATGCCATGCACTCCACGCAGTCTGGGAACAGATAATTGTCATGTGCTAAGCTGATGTCCCAGAGTTTGGTGCTCCAGGGCTGGGCCCCTAGTCTGAGCTCCATGAACCCTTATAGGGTTAGGGGAACCAGGTGAAGGGTATTTTTCAGGATGGTGGTGCTAAGATACCAAATACCAAAAGCAGGTGACAGAACACTGCTATGGTCAGGGAGAGCCACATTAACCCCTAAGTGCCCCTGACCTGCGACTTGTCTCCCACTTCTATGGCAAAGCCCTATGCAGAAGTGGATAAACTAGCAGTCAAAATGTGATTTGCTCTGTGACAATGCATATTTAACGTGAAAATCCCCAGGTCTGTAGGACAGGCATGGGGGAGGGGTCCCCACGCTCACCATCAGGCTAACTTCAGAGTGTCAACTCCCGACTGTGTGAGATTCTAAGCAGTGTCCACTACCAGACCAGCCTTCATCCCTACTAGCCACTCACTGCTGAGCCTGGGACCCTTGGGTCAGCTGGGTGAAGGCCTCCCGGACCACCCTGTCCTCTTCTGTCAGGCAGCCAAAGCTCATGAGGCAAGGGTAAGGGGCTCACCTCCCTCCAGGTAGGCGTGGGGCACATTGGCCTCTAGAAACATGGCCTCCCCTGGCTTCAGGGTGAGCAGGTTCAGAAAGTAGATGGCAAAGCAGCCGATATCCCCTGGGTACTGCTGGTGCAGCCGAAGTAGGAGCTGCCCACAAATGTCGTCCATGTTGTTCCCAGCTGACACTGAGGGTCACAAAGTATACTCGACACTTAGCGACAGTTGGTGGTGTTCTCTACCCCACACCGGCTTGAAGTCTTGCCCACTGGGGTACATCTGTTCTTGGCCCTCCACCCACATGGATGCCATCTCTCACCACAGACTGCCGCATGCCTGGCACAGCACTGGCCTCTAGAAGGGCCAGAGTATGGGTCTTTCAAGACAAAAATCTATCAACCTTGGCACCATGGCACTGGGTAAGGCAGTTCTTTGTTGCAGGGGTGTCCTGCGCATTGCTAGGTGGCCAGCAGCACCCTCAGCCCCATCCACAAGACACTATGGGCACCCCCAGCCCAAGCTTTAACAGCTAAAGTCCCTAGTTGACTGCCTGTCCTGAGACTGAGAACCACAATTTTTGTTGTGGATGACAAGCTCCCCTGAGCCCGAGATTTTCGCCTTTCCTGCTCAAAGCCCTGTGTCTCAGGCAAGGCCTCCTCAGCAGCCATGCCAGCTCACAGCTGGGCACCTGTCTGCCTGTGCTCCTAATGCTTGAATCAGCTCCTCTGCCCAAGGTGATGTGGCCACACTCATAAACCTGTGGTCACTTCCTCAACTCTTCAGGGCTCCTTTGCACAGGTCAGGGCCAGTGGACTGTGAAAGGAAGGGTTGATGACTATTAGTGCTAGGCATCCATCCTCCCTTTGTCCCCTTCTTGTTCTTCAGTCCCCCGATACAAGACTGTCAATGGGAAGCAGCCAGCAGAAGACACTGGAAGAAGGAAAAAAAAAAAAAAAAAGAAGACACTGGAAGAGTCTTCTGGCCAGCATACCTCCCCATCCAGAGAAAACTGCCTGTCTGGGCCTTGCTCCCCAAAGGCAGGGAAAGAAATGGCATGGCATGGCCCTTTTAGTGTCCCACCTGTGCAAAGGAGCTGAGAACCTTGTCCTCTGCCTCATGTATGGATGAACCCACGTCAGGGTGCCGAACCCACCTTGCTGGGAAATGCGCTTCACCAACAGGTTGAGCTGTACCACCACTGTCGTCTTCTCACTCTTCATTAGGTGGGAGAAGCAGCTGCGCAGAGCCTCGGCCACTGTCTGGGGGTCACTGCTCACACTCTGCTTCAGCTGTGTGGCTGCGTCATCCCCAATCAAGAGCTGGAACTCAGGCACCTCTGCAAGAAACCAGGCCAGAGCCATATCAGGAATAATAGTGAGGAACAGGAGGAGGCCTCCCCAGCCCTGTCCAAGCAAGGATCCAGGCCGTGCTAAGAAAAACACAAAGTATGGGCCAGCTGCTCTTCACCTGCCCTTGACAATCACACCCAAGCCTGGCTCCCAAAACTATTTCATAAGCATAACCAACCCTTCAGGCACCCTGTGACATTCAGCCTCTGTCCTGTGTCACTGCCTGCCCTGGCCTGGGTAACCCATACATCCCAGACCCAGTCCATGTATTCTAGGTGTTCTGTCCAACCTTACTCTTCAGAAAGGTCAGGATCTCCGCCACAGGCCGGAAGCCACACAAGCCCTGGAAGGAAGTAAGTGCAATGGCCATCTCTGGCTTGTGGTTGGCATCAGGGTAGTGCTCTGGGGCCTGGAGATGGAGCTTCTCTGCCAGTTCCTGTGGATGGTGGGGTGCAGCTGCCCTTAGTGGGAACACCATGCTCACTAATCCCTGCTCACCACCCTCCCTGCTGCCAGCCAGCAGTGGCTTCAGGCCTCTGGCAAGGGACCCAGTCAAAACATGATGTAGAAACTTTGGCCAAGGAAACAGGCCAAATCTAGAGGACAGCTGGGCAGATTTTAAGAGGTGTGGTCAGTGAATCTAGCAATCCTGACAGGGCTGATAATGAACAAGCAGAGTGACTTTCGGTAAATCCGTCCTTTCACTAAGGACAGATTTAAGTCTGATGCTGCTTATCTAAAATAAGGTTTGGACAGATAGTTGTTGTACTAGGACTCCGGGGCTGGTATAGAATTCTTCAGAGCTAAAGCTGAGGACACAGATAAGGTGCTTCCCTTGCCTTGGAAGCTGAACCCTCCTGAGAGCCAGATAGGAAGATGGTAAGTATGACAGACCTGTGCTGGTAGACAGGAGACCAGAAACAGACCCCCAAGAACAAGCTCAGAGAAGCCAACCTAGCAAAGGCTGGCCAGCTGCCCAATGAGACTTGGCTACTACATGTATCACCTGCATATGGCCTTGCAGAGTTAAATTAGGAGTCTTCAGATCTGCATTTAGCTCTGGGCTAGGGTCTGGTACGGGCGGGGTGAAAGCAGCAGTAAAAGTCACAGAAGGGCTGTGAAACTTGCCTGCCTCCACATTCCCTTCTGTATCCCACTGTGACCCTGTACCTTGTTGGGGTGTGCCTGGATGGACAGGGCTGTTTCCACAGAGATCACTTTGAAGAGGAAGGGCAGCTTGCCGTTAAAGGCATCTTTGACCTTTGAGCCCAAGCAATCTGGATTCTCAGCAATCCACTGGCCCAGGGTCTTCTGTGAGATTCGATTGTCAAGGATCTTGGCATCCCCTCGGGGATGTGCTCCCATCCACAGCTGCAGAGAGCAGGAAGAACCAGTACCATGAGTCACAGGACCCAAGATGTGCTGTGCTCCCCAAAGGTTGGTCCCCAATGGTCTGGTGCTCACACCATCAGGGACACACAGGGACCCAGCCAACGGAGAACCAGGGCCCAGTCCAGGCTCTCCTCTCTGCAGTTCTGGAGGCTTCAGTTAGTTATTTTACTTCTCTAGCTTAACTCTTCTTGTCTATCTAGTGAGGAGAATGACACCTGCACTGTCACGGCAAAGTCATGACCCTCAAATGGCTCTGTGAGGGGTTAAAATTCTTGTACTTTACTACTTTCAGACACTTTTAATTCTAGGCTTTTTCTTTTAGGTTAATCGAGTTATTAATTGGAAATAAGGGTAACAGCTACTGGATTTCTTTTTTTGGTTTTCTAAAAGGGGTCCTGAGTGGGTGGCCCTCTTTCTAGGCTTTAGCATTTTCTCCACTAAGTAGGCAAGAGGAATTACCCTTCAGGTTAATAAAAATGCAAAAAAAAAAAAAAATGCAAAAGATACTCAAAATAAAAAATGTCAAAGTAATCCCAGCACTCGGGAGGCTGAGGACGATTCCTGCAAATTCAAAGCCAGCCTGGGCTACATTGTGAGTTCAAGACCAATCTGTAGTACAAAGCAAGACCTGTCTCAAAAAAAAAAAAAAAAAAAAAGAAGTCTAAGAAGGCTGGATTAAAATTCAGTAGGTGCTGAGAAAGGTGCTGAGGGCTGTGGTCATTCAGTCTGTAGACCTACACCGATTGGAAGAGCCAAGGGGGCATCCTGGTCCCTGCTGTCCCCACTCTTCCCAGCCGATCCACATAAGGTGGACTGAAGCGTAGGCCATCTCACCTCTGCATATGGCTTGTCCTCTGAGATACGGGCCAGCGGGTCACTGCTGGCAAGCAGCCGTGCCACTTCGCTGTTGGAGCCCCTCTTCCCCCAGGCATACTGTTGCACCGCACAGGAAAGTGGGAACACTGTTGGACAGACAGGGGTCAGTTCCTGTCCCCGCTTCAGATCCGGCCCTAGAGTCCGGAGGGATCTGACCAGGGAAAGAAGTAAACAAGGTCTGCAGGTTGTGAGGTGAGATCCCCCTCTTCTGCAAGGCATGACGTTCCCATCTGTGAGACGGGCCGATGAGGATCTCATCTGCGTGCTGGGGTGCAGAGAAGGCACAAGAAAAATCGCCCTGTCTCTACTGACCCGCGGGCAGTCGGAGGAGGGGGCTGCCCCTCGAGGGTCGCCCCCATCTCAGGGTCCCTCCTCTGCCCCGCCCATCCATTCTCCACAAGCCTCAGGGCTGAGGTCTCCCTGTCAGGTCAGGCTGGCGTTACTGCCCGGGACGCGCCCACCACCACTCTCCCTACCCCAGCAGACCGCTCACCTCGAGGCTCAGCCATCCTGGTAGCCGACCTGGCAGCTAACTTGGCTAACGGCACGTCGCTCTTCCCAGCAGCACCTGCGGGCCACGCGCAGACCTCATGGGAAATGTAGTCCTGCATACCCTGACCTGCGCACTAGACTGTCTGGGCGTTTAGAACGCTCATCTTGGATGTAAGGATCACTCACTTCTCTCGCACAGGTTTTTCGAGTTTTGTGTTTGGTTTTTTGTTTTTTATTATTTAGTTAAGACTCACTACATAGTTTAGATTGATGTTGAACTCATATAACTCAGGCTGGCCTTCAACTCCCCTCAATTCTCCTGCCTCAGCTTCTCAAGTGCTGGGATTACAGGCGGCACCACTAGGCTAGGCTTCTGCACAGGTTTACTGAGAAGCGACCAAAAAGCAAAGGATATTCCAGTGGCTGCAGGAGCCGGGTGGGACGGGTGGGACGGCATTGAAATCCCAATGCTGGGCGTAGGGGTGGGGACGGGAGTGCTGTAGGAGCCAAGGGGAACAAGATGACACTACTCTGCCTTTGTAGTGCTTCCATTCCAGAAAAGGAAGGAAGACACGCTAACGTGTGGAATAAGGAAATCATGTAGTCTGCAAGCAGGTGGGAGTGGGTACAGCCTGTAGAATTTAGAAGCCACGCAGGTAAGTCCCATTAAGGCGAGATTTGAGCGCAGCCTTGGAGGAGGAGGAGGAAAGAGTGGTCCAGGCAAAGAGAACAGCTACAGCAAAGGCCACAGCGTGGGAGCTAGGGATGTGCTGTTCTGCAAAAAAGGGGAGAGGCAGAGCAGAGAATGCAGCTGGAGGAGCGGTGGTGGGCAGAGCCCTGACGGCTACTGTAGGGAGAACAGAGAGCGCTGCTGCTGAGATGTGAGAAGGGTCTTAGCAATATTGGCAAATGCCAGGGGCACACTCTTGCTCTCTTTGGCTTTAGTTTGGTGTCATCCTCTATAGTGTGGGGTAGTCATACACCTCAGGAAGTCGAGGGAACTAGGAACCCTGCCTGGGCAAGGCTGGGCTGCGCCTGGCTGGGGAGTAACCTTGCAATGTCTTGTGGAGACAACTCTGATGTCCCAACCTCCTCTGTCAGCAGCCCAGGAGGAAGACTGCCCTTTGGAGGGCCCAGAAGCACAGCAATCCAAACTTCGGGAAACTGAATGCAGGGTCACAGTCCAGACCCCTGACTCCCCCCCCCCCCATTCCCACAGCCTCCTGCACAAGTCCAAGGGAAAGAAGGAACAAAGTTTTCTCTGTGAAATTCTGCCCAGGTGTGGATAACAGCCTCTCTGGGGTCCTCTAACTCAGATAAATCAGCCTACATTTGGAGGAAACTTTCTCATACAGGAAAGAATGGAAAACACATAACAGCCTGCTCAAGCTCCTCCTGTTTTTGAATATCCTCTGTGTGTGGGGTGCGTGTGCGTGTGCATGTATACTTGCTACTGGGGCTTAACCTAGGACTTTCACACTGAACTATATCCTCACCCCCTTTTAAAAATATTTGAGATAAGGTCTTGCTAAATCACTAAGGCTGGACTCAGATTTATGATCCTCCTGCTTCTGTTCCCAGGGTGCTGGGATTACAAACATGTGTTATGAAGCCAAGGTTGGCACAGGGGTTCTTGACACACCCCCAGTATGGTACCACCTATCACAGAAATCAAAAGTTACTGTCACTTCCTCAGAATCTCCCTGCACAGAGAAAGAATAAATTAGATTACTGGGGCGCTCAGAGCCCCCAGCTCTGTACCCTACCACATACATATGAAACTTTGTAATTTAGAATCTTCCACTCTTTGCTCTTGGTGATCTTTTTTTTTGGAGACAAAGTCTCACTATGTAGCCAAGGTTGGCTTACAAATTTGTGATTCTCCTGTCTCAGCTTCCTGAATGCTAGAATTACAAGGATATGCCACTATGCCAGGCTGGTGGTCCAGGTCTCCTAGAAATGATGACATTATTTTATCTGGTGATGATCTACTGTCTTCTTTCTTCCTGGGACTCCTGTAGAAGTCTCCAGTTGACTACTGGTTGCCAGGAGAACCAACAAGTGATTAGAAGGTTGACACTTTCAACCCCGACCTTACAACCTCCAGGGAGGGAGATGGGCTGAAGACTGAATTGATCACTCAAGGTTAAAGATATAATCAATCATGTGTATGTAAAAAAGCATCCATAAAAAATATAACAGTGCAATGGTGCACACCTATAATCCCAGCTATAATCCCTTGGGAGGCTCACGCAGGAGGATAACTGCAAATTTGAGCTACATAGTAACTCTGGGCTACATAGTAAATTCAAACCCAGCCTGTTACATAAGTGAGACCCTATTTCAAAAAACTAATGCAATAAGGAAAACAACAACAACAAAGGCTGGATTTAGGGAGCTTTCATTTAGCTGAGCACACTGAGGTTCCTAGAGGGAGGCACTCTGCAGAAGGCGTGAAAGTTTCACAATCTTCCCACGTGCTTGCCCTGTGCATCTGTCCCATTTGTTGCTTGTCCGAACACTTGATAAAATCTTTTCTAATAAACTGACAAACATGTTTGCTAGAGTTTATGAGCCACTCCAGCAAATGTGTTGAACCTGAGGAGAGGACCTTGGGAACACTGACTTATAGCCACTGTTAGCACAGGTAAGGGCCCGGTGTGGTAGTGCACATATGTCATCCCAGCAATGTAGGAGGCTGAGGTAGGAGGATCACAAAAGTTGAAGATCAGCTTTGGCAACAATGGAGATCCTGTTTCAAAAAAGGGAGTGGAGCTGAGGATTGGAGGTCAGTATGAAGGCCATAATTCAGTTCACAGTAACGAAGACAACTGAGGGGGAAAAAGATGAGAAGGAGGGGTAGGAGGAGGGAGAGGGGCAGGGAAGGAGAAAGGAGTAGAAAAGTACAAATATAACGTGTTTGGCTGGATTAGCATCCAGCCAAAGTTGGATTAGCATCTGAAGGTGGGGAGGAGTCGCCTCATAGGTCACCTCTGGGACACTCTGTCTTCATGTGGTCAGCGTCAATCGAACTGAGGATTAGGACACCAGTTAGCATCTGCTGGAGAACTGCTTTGTGTATAGGAAAACAAACCCACACACATTTGGGGACCGAAGTATTGTGCTAACTGCGAAAGCAGAGGAAGAAGAGATTTTTTTTTTTCAGTTCTGGAGACAACCCTATGAGATAGGTTTTATCATTAGTCTAACTTGCCCTCTAGGGAAAGAGTTCAATTTCCTGATTCACTTTTGGAGTTTACTTTAGAATCACAAAATGGGCGGGCAGCAGTGGGCGCGAGGGTGAGGAATATCTTGGATTCCCCTCCAAGATTCAGACCTCTATGCGCTGGAACCCCAAACTCCACAGAAGGAAACAGAACGCCCAATAATCTCTCTAGTGGGCGGGGCGAGCGGGCTCTGTGACGTCACGAATCACGCCTCCTTAGCCCGCCGCTGCGCCTGCGCCAAAAGTGCTGCTCGTTCCCGGAAGTGGAGGGTCTACACGGAGCACCGTTGGGTCTGGGCGCCCGGAGGCAGCAGCGCTCATAGAGGTCGCCCCCGAGCTCCGACCACCATGTCAGCTTTCGACACCAACCCCTTCGCGGACCCAGTGGACGTAAACCCTTTCCAGGTAGGACCCCCAACTCACAGATCGCTCGGGGTCAGGGGCCGCCGCCCCAGCCTCTTTCGCCAGAGCCGAGAGACGTGGCGTAGGAGGGATGGGCCCTCTGTCCAATGGGAGAGCGCGCTTTGAGGATTGACCTATCCTAGAGGCTGGGGGGCGGAACTAGAGGCAGGTGCTCAGCGGAGGGGCGGGGCGCTGTAGCTGGAAGCGCTGTGATCTCCCGGTTCTTGAAGGGGTCGTACCTCCTAGTCTATTACTGATGGGGAAGGAGACTGGCGCGGGTACTGTTGGACCCGCAGGGAGACCCTCTCGCATCAGAGAGAGGCAAAATGTAGCTATCACATTCCTTTAGTGGTGTACAGACACCTGGCTTGAGCCACCTTAGGAGTTCGGGTGACAGCAACAAAATCAGGAAGTAGAAGTTTCCAGTGGTACGAAGAAACGTGGAAAAAGCTGGAGTCCCCTCTACCAGCAGCAGCCAAAGTAGCATATAAAGTGTAGGAACGTCCCTGCAGTTGATCCGGAAAAGTAGGCTGGGATAGGGAGTTAGGTAGGCCCAGCCCTGTAACTTTGGAGCCCTTTCAGCTGCTTTTAAGTTGGATAATGTCCTTGATAAAAATCTCACACATTAGGGGCTGGGGATTTAGCTCAGCGGCATAAGCACCTGCCTTGCAAGCAGGCGGTCGTGAGTTCGATCCGATCCCCGGTACCGATTAAAAAAAAATTTCACACATTAGCCATGAGTTATAAAGAGAGACAAGGAGAGGTGGCTCTGAAAGTTGCTTGGCCCCCTACTGTGGTGTCGGTGTGGCTTAGCAAACAGTCAAGGAAGAAACGATTTTTCTGAAACCCAAACCTTCTGCCTTGGAACAGAGAGCAGAGCTGGCCTCTTTCTGTGGAGAGGAGCTTGGACGCCTGTTAGCTCCGGGGCGTCTTATGGCTTCTTTCATGCCTCTTCAAAACCAGTTCTAGGGACGCTTTGCTTGTGTTGACTGGCAATTTATGAGCCCTGATATTTCTTCTCTGTCAGGATGTCACCAAGCATGAGAAGTCATCCAGCAGGTACTTTATTTATTAAGGTTATTGGGAGCTTCCAAGCCCCCAACCCCTGCCATAATTCAAAACTCCTTGGAGGGGTTCTTGCTGTGCCTTACAGCTTCTCTCCTATGAGTTCATCCCTTCCAGGGTCAGGGCAAAAGTGGGGAAGACTTGAGCTAAATTATTACCAGTGTCAGGAGAGTGGAAATTTTAGGCTTCTTTCTTGGTCTCAAGATGACTTAGCCATTGGGAATCCTCCAGGCATATTTTGTTCCTTTAAAGACTGAGGAATTCTGAACATGCTTCTAGTTTAATGCTTTCTAACAGGGCCTTTGTAAAGACCTGTCTCTTTATGAAAGGCAAACAACCATCTTTAGTGGAGTAAGGAAAGAACATTTGCATTTTCTGTTAGTGTCTTTGAGTAACTTTTGCCTTAATTACAAACCTCTGTATAATACTGGGGTTTGGACTTTAGCAAGGGTCAAACAGGTTTTTGGAGTGTGGTATGTGATGTTCTTTTTTTTTTTTTTTTTTTTTTTGTCCTGTTGTAATTAAATAAATTTCTGCTGACATCAGGAAGAAACAAGAAGACACAGGGAGCTTTTCTCCAGTGCTGGCAGTGGGCAGACTTATCCTGCCCCGTATTAATAATAGCTCCTGGGAAGTCTTAAGCCACATCTGCAGACCCAGAAATGATTGTGCAAACTCTAGGCAAAGTAACTTCTGCATTGAAGGAAGAGGGTCTGTCAGGCAGCCCGTGATGTGGCGGGACAGGAAGCAGCTGCTGGCCTATAAATCAGCAGCAGCTGGTCAGGAATCCTATGTGGGAAGCCAAGGTCTTGGCTGGCTGCAATACTGTTCCCCTCATTCTGTGCTGAATTTTAATCTTTGTCACACATTCGCATGGCGGGCAGCATCTTTTGGTTGTGCAGCCCCTAAACTCCGTCTGGTCGGAGTGCCTCTCCCTTCCTGTAAGACAAGGGTCTGCTTCCTGACTTCTGGGGCTGGGGCTGGGACTGGGACTTTGGCAGGGTGCAGTCCACGGTGACAGGGTGTGAGCCCAGCTTCATTTGCTCAGGGTGTTGGCGCAGAGCTCAGGAGAGAGCAGGTGGGGAGGTGACAGACTCAGGAATTGTCACACCTAGCCAGCTTCCAGAATGATTGCTTTTTTCTGTCACGACATGTCATGGTGGGTTGCAAAAAATACATTTAGTGTTCAGAGTCTGTGGGTGACACTTGGAACTGAGAATATTCTTAGAAATCTATCCTTTTCCATTTAGCGATCTGGAAACTTAAGATCTCAGAGTCACCTGTGAATTAGCAGGAAAGGGACCAGACTTGGGCCTCATTCCCAGCACTGTGCTGTTTTTAAAGGTTTTTGAATATCAGACATCAGGGTTATTTTAGGCCAGCTAAAGAAAGAATGTAAGATTATCACCACTATCATCTTTTTATTTTTTAATGAGACTACATCTTGTTATGTAGTCCAGGCTATCCTGAACTTTCTGATAGCCCTGGCTGGACTCAAACTTGTAATCTTCCTGCCTCAGCTCCCTGAGTACTAATATCACAGGTGTGTGCCATCATGCCCAGCTTCTCCCTCATCCTCAGTATTGGGCATTGAATTTAGGGAATGTTGAGCTACAAATTGAGCCCTTTTTAAAATTGAGACAAAGTCTCAAGTTGATGGGTGGGCTTAAACTGTGATCCTCCTGCCTCAGTGTCCCAGAGTTCTGGGATTATGTATCGTCATGCCTTGCTTATTTTCACTGTTTTCTTCTTCTTCTTCTTCTTCTTCTTCTTCTCCTTCTCCTTCTCCTTCTCCTTCTCCTTCTCCTTCTTTCTTCTTTCTTCTTTCTTCTTTCTTCTTTCTTCTTTCTTCTTTCTTCTTTACTGAAGATCAAATTTATGACCTCATGCTTGCTAGCCAGGCACTTGTGCCACTGAGCTATATCCCCGGCCATTTTCACTATTCTTGAAATGAGAGTACTTTTGTGGTAAATGTTAAAAATTAGAATGAGCTAAATGTGTTTTCCCTAGTGTGAGGCATTAGAATCATTTAGATTTTATTGGGGCTGGGGATTTAGCTCAGCGGCATAAGTGCCTGCCTTGCAAGCAGGCAGGTGTGAGTTCGATCCCTGGTACCGATAAAAAACGAAAAAGACAAAAAAAAAGATTTTATTGTGTACTTTTTTTTTTCTTTTGGTGCTGAGAACTGAGCTCAGGTCTTGTGCATACTGAGTTTGTGTTCCACTTCTGAGCTGCACCCTAGCCCCATATATATACTTTGTGTGTGTGTGATTGGCATGGTCTTGGTGTATAATTCAGATTAACCTCAAACTTGTGTCAATCTTCCTGCCTCAGCCTCCTGAGTGCTGGGATTGTAGGCATGGGCCGCTATTCCTGATTAAGATTCTGTTTTGAATCTTGCCAGTCCTGGAAGCTGCTCGGGGTCTGTGGTCAGATAGGTTTAAGCATTCCCCTTACCTTTTCTATTTTTATTGAAGATCAGCAAGGCTTCTTAGTTTGGTCAGGGGTCTGAGAAGCCCTTCAATAAAGATATCTGTTAACCCTCCACTCCGGCATTTCTGAGAGTCATTTAGCCAGGAAACCCTATTTCTATTCACTGTTGGCACAGGCAGGGAAACTCCCAGGGCCTTTATGCCTAGACTTCCTCATCCAAAGTCTTTCTCAGGCCCGTGCTTCTGCCCCTGCCCCACAGTGTGGGCATGGGCTTTTCTGACCATTCCTCATGTTCAGTTGCAGTTGGGATTAAGAACTTCCCGAAAAGCAGGGGCTGCGAGTGGAAAGTGAAGTCACAAGAGCTGGGCTGTATAGCTTACCAAATTTCCAGCAGGAAGCAGGAAATTGTAAGCCAAGCAGCCATTTCCAAACCTCCAGGGACACACCCCAATTCCCCGGTGAGTTATGATGCCCCCTGCTGTGCACCCTGTGAGTACTTGGGCCCTGCCTTTGCATGATTTCAGGGTATTTTCCTCCTAAAGTTTCACTAAGTCAAGCAATAAAGAGGTGGAGAACTACAGGGAGGCATTGTTTGGTCTCCATTTCTCGCCTCTAAAAGTCAGACTGCCTCACCAAATATCAGGGATGCCTTCCTCTGAGGCACCTCTGCTAGATTTCCCCAGACCAGGCACTGATGTGGTAGGGGGACTGGCAGAGATGGTGAAGCCAAACAGAGTGGGGCTGTCAGCCACAGACCAGCCAAGTCACACAATCTCATTTTCACACGTCGAGATAATCTCAGTACTGTGGCTCCTTCCAAGGACTGGAACACTTCTCTCCTGTGGGAGGAGAAAGTGGTGGTGGAAACTGCCTGGCATGTGAACCGAGTTAGGTAACTTTGTTCTTCCGTACAGACACTGCAGGCTTTGTTGCTTCCCGGAGCTGGACTGCTGTAGCCTGACTGTCACTTTAGGAATTCTTAGACCTACCAGTAGATCTGGGAGGACCTCCCTGTGCCACAGAGGGTTTTCTTAAGAAATTGGAAAATATCAAGGCTCTTGGAGTTTAATATATCTCCACACACCTGCCGAGGTGGGGCTGTTTCTACTTGTGCAGTTGGCATGGGAGACCAGACTGGGTGTTAGAACTTGGCCAGAGACTCAGGTGAACTTGAACTCTATCCTTTCATTACATTTTCTTAATATTTAATATTTAACCAGGACAGACAAGGGTACTCACTTCTCATTTAGAGAAGAGAGCTGCAAGGGAGACCCGGCCAGTAAGTGGCCCCAGGAAGATGTTCATAAGTTAGTCCACTGCCACCCTGTGGGCCAGGGCAGGAGAGCTGGGTAAACAGGCATATGGTCAGTGCTGGCCAGGACAGTGCAGGTGGCAGAATAGCTGAGAATGCTGTTCAAAATGGCATGGTGGTGCATGCTCCAAATCCCAGCACTCTGGGAGGTTGAGCCAGAAGGATTGTATGTTTGAGCCCAGCCTGCATAACT